GGTATCCCATTCCTCTATGCATTTTCAAACCAAACAACCCATTTTTTACATCAGATCTAGCAAGTGAATAAAAATACACTTAAATACACCAAAGTTGGTTTCATTCTGGAGCAAGTGTAGCATAGAAATACCACTGGAGCCGACAGGAATTTGGAGCAGGAATTTGGAGCAGGAAAATGTTATGGCCTGAGCAGTCTCCACAGGCTGCTGCTTTTCTAGAAACACCCTGATTTGAAATAGATCCTGAGTGCTGTCATTACTAGAGGACCAGGGGCTGGAAGCTGTGATTCTTTTTCTACACCACTTTTGGCATTACAGTAATGACTGATTTTGCCCAAGTCAGGTACATGAAGTGACACCTTCACTAAGCAAGGAGCAGCTGAAGACCACCAACTCAACACTGCACACAGGGACAGCTTTCCCAAAGCTACATCTCCCCACAGTTAAGAGACCTGGCAGTGAGAATTTCCTTAACTCTGAACCAAACAGTGTTTTGGATGGTAACATCTGCCATTAATTCTTGCAGGGGGCTGCAACAGGACAGCCAAGAGCTTCACTGCTCTCTCCCCTCACTCAGTAACACTGACATTTCCCAACCAACAGCATCTATTGCCTTCCTCACGCCCACTCTCCTTTCCCATTTGCAACCACAGCATATCCATTCCTGCAGCTGGGCCAGCAACTTGGACACAAATTCCCCCATGGAAAGGACTGAATGGAGTGGAGCTGGTTTTATTCCTGTTGCTGTTTCAGCACAATTTAGCAGCTGGAAACGAGAAAGAGAAGCTGGTGCCACATGACAAAGCTTTCCACAGTCAGCATCCCTACAGCAGCATTTAAAGAAGCAGGAGTTATTTCAGCAAACAACAGCTCCACAAAACCTCACCAAAGGTGGCAAATGGAGCCCCTTGAAAATCAGAAGGGTAGACAATCTGAGGTTTCCTCAGATACTGTGATTTAGTCATGCTGCTGGAAGCTGAGTTAATCAATCTCTTGCTGCTGTTCTTTGCCCATTGCTGGTTTTCCTCCAATGGCTCCTTGCATGTGGCCTGTCTGAGGATCCTCTGGGCTGAAGCCTCCTGGTCCCCAGGCTCCACCCTACAGTTGTTGCAGGTTGCACATGGCCTCAGGCACAGCAAACCTGGAGTTTCTGTCAGCGTGTGGGGCCTTGTGCAAACCTCAGGGCTGGCACCTCATGAAAAGCCAGTGGTGTGTGAAGAGCTCAGGCTCCTGCTGGTGCTTCTTGGCTTCAGATACTGCTCAGCTGGCAGCTTCCAGGCCAACACCTCCCAAAGAGCAGAAAGGCCGAGTTCCAGTTCCCAGCCTGACTGGGAGAAGCAGGAGCTTGGAGCACTTGCCAGCCCAAACACCTCCCAGTGGATTCAGCCCCAGGTTAGAGCCCAGCATTCCTGGCCCAGCTCCAACCATGAAGCATCTCGCCCCCACATATGACCTGCAGCCAGCAGCCAGCTCTCCTGCAGGTGGTTCAGTGCCTCAGGGCCAGGGCCATTGGATCTAAGGGCACAAAAGCATTCTGGGGAGGTCTGATTTTGAGATTCCTGCCCCCAAAGTTAAACCCTCTTGAATCTGAAAGAAACCAAGCATACAGGCCTAGCTAACAGCTTCTCTGCTCTGCCCAGGACACTTCTGACAAAGCAACCCGGGGCATCTACCAAAAACTCATAATGGGACCAAATGCAGCAGACCAATCACAGCCACCCTCTGGCAATGAGATGCCAAAACCTGCAATTGGCTTTAAATGTTTTCAGAATGCTTAGCAAATTAAGGGGACATTTCATTGACCCTATTACTCCTTTATCAGTAAAAACAATCCTATAGGGTTGGAACAAAAGCTCTGTGGGTCACAGCAACAATTGGTCTAAGTTATTAATGGCTTAGACCTGCCTTGTGCACACTAAAAACCATTCCTGCAGAGGAATCCCTTCTCCTGAGCCTCTCCTGCCATGTGGCCTATCATGTCCTGCACCAGGGAGGGCTGATCCCAGGCAAAAAGCTCAGGAGCTGGACTCCATCATCCTGATGGGTCCCTTCCAACCCAGCATATTCTAGGATTCTATGAAGACACTTCCATGCGCCAAAATCTGCTCCCGGACCTGAGGCTTTTCTGGAAAATACGGTAAAACCTGAACATGTTGACACAAGCAGAGAGCACAGCATCTAGGATCAGTGTACTTCTGACCTCATTCCCAGAAATGGCTGATCTCATTCTGAAAACCCTTTCCTAGAAAGAGACCACCCTTAGGCAGACACCCGGGCTGAAAATGTGCTGTTTGGTGGCTTCAAGATAAGGGACATTCTCAGTAATAAAGAGGGATTTAAGCAATGCATCTACTTGCCTTTGTTTCTGACAGTGCCCCAGCCTTGGGAAAAGAAGGCTTCCCAGCAGTAGAAATGGTTCTAATGCCACTCTTCCATGCTGAGCTGTGCTAAGCCCTGCCACACTCAGGAGCCTGCACACAAGATGTGTTTCAATAGGATCAAGACTAGGAGAAAAAAGCCTCAGCACAACCTGCAGTATTCTTGGTATAAACCTGCTGCCCTCCCTGCTGAGGCTTTGCTGTAACGTTGGGCCAGTGACCACAGCTGATCTCACCTACACAAAATGAGGCTCCTGCAAATCACATTCCACAGGAACCTGTTTTAATTAATAATTCATTTTCTATTTCATATAGTTTTTTTGTATTTTAATACCTTTCACAAGAAACTGGTTCCAAGGATGTTTCATGAGCCACATCCTGAGGAACCACAACCACCTGCACAACTGTGCTGGTCTAGAAGGAAACTGGAAAGCAACTGGGTGCAGTAAATGCATGGCAAAGAACACAAGAGAAGCGAGTTCTGCTCCTTGCAGCGACTTTGTTGGGAAGCTGAAACTTCAGGTGACACACCCACAGCTGGAAACCTCAAGGCCTTGTGCATAAACTGCTCACAGCATCCAGTGTGCAGCTGAACTGATTTAACTTCAAAGAAGCCAAGACCTGCCATGCTGCAAACCCAGCTTTGGGTAATTCTGAAAAACTCCTTGTGAAAATCTCTGAGAAGAGCCTTCCTGGCCTTTGCAGGACACTAACAGGGCAAGTTCTCACCCCCTGGAATGTCATTAAAGGCTCTAACAAAAAGGGGAAAAATTTTCTCACCTCACCTCTACCCACCTGCTGGCAATTCCCGTTCCCTCCAGCCAGTGGTTTTCCAGTCAGAAGGTTTAAGCTGCCCAGCCCTGACACACTGGATTCACTGGGCTATTCAAAGGCCCTGCAGCAAGTCTGTCCTTTCCAATCCAAGGCTATGAGAGAGAAATCAGTCCCTGCACAGCTCTGCTGCTGCACACTCATGTTCCCAGCAGGCTCTGACACTGCCCACCCTGAGAGGAATTCCATCATTTACCCACACTGACTTGGCAATATTTACCCTTATTTCCATACAAACTGGCATTCATTTAATTCAACAATTTAACTGCTACAGACCACCATGTACCGCTCCAAAAAAATGCCTTTTGGAAGAGGAATACCCACACGACCTTCTGCAAAGGTGTAACAGACACCCCTGGAGCCCTGGTGGGTGGGGGTTCCATGGGGACAGACCTTTTGGAGACCTTGAGAGCCCATCCAAACCTCTGGGCCCAACGGCGAGGCTGAGGCATCACTGGATGTGGTACATGCAGATACATGAGTGTACAGTAACGGTGAGAATATTTTTTCTTTTTTTTTTTTTTTAACAAAACTTNAAAAATAACCAAACAATGCTCTAGTGTTTTAGGCCATGGATTCTCTAGCTCAGATTCATGGGGTGGAACATGTTAACAGGGAAAGTGTCTCATGGACCTCTCCCTTCTGGCCACAACCAGGCACCTCCTCCCTTCCCCGTGGTGATCAAATCACATCCTCAGGCAAGTACAGCAATTGTTTACATGTAAAAGCAAGATTAGGAAAGTAACATATTTGTAGCCTTTCTTCCCTTTTCCGTTTCTTTTTGTTGTTGGTTTTTTTTTGTTGTTGTTGTTTTTTGCTTTTTTTTTTTTGAAGAAGTGATTTAGCAGCTGGAAAGAAAAAGACAGCATCATGTGAGCAGTCAGTGCTGCAGACACCCCCAGCAAATGCTCCACAGATTACTCACGGTCCACGGCCCACAGTTCACAAAGCACATTTCAGGCTTGCCCATCTTTGCAGAGTCCTTGATGGCAGGTGCTTCTCACAGTGAGAGCCAGCGGGTCATCCTGGGTGGCTGCAGACACACGAGGGCCTTCCTGTCCTCAGCAGCAGCTGGGTGTGGAGCAGCAGCCCGGGTCCCGCTGGGCACGGGAAGGGCTCCCACGGCTCTGCTGCCCCGGCACTCGGAGCGGGCGGGCAGCGCCGGGCAGGCAGCGCCGCTCCTCCTCCTGCGCCCTTCCCTGGGCTGGGCTCTCGGATCTCGGCTCTCACAGCTGTGGCCTCCGGAGCTGCCAGGGTCACAAGTCCCCGGGTGACGCCGCTGATCCAAGTCACGCTGCCACAGGGCTGGAGAAACCCAGCTGGGGTCGGGCACAGTCTGCCCTGAGGTCACATCCCAGCCTCGGGAACCAACTGCTCCTGCCTGGCCCCGCAGCCACTGGCTGCTCCTTGGCCAGGGAGTTTCTCGGCACAACAGCATCCCCTTTTATCATTTTTTCATTTTTTTTAAACAACAATTGCTCTCACCCTTCATTTTTGGTAGTCACACATACAGACACACACTATATGTACACAATTTGGGCCCGAGGACCTACGGCATGCCAAGGAAGCCAGCACCGCTCAGGATGGTGCACACATTCAGCAGCTGTCAAAGGAGAAGTCGTTTTACTTTCTTTTAAACTTGCAATGTTTGTCTTTATTTTGTTCTTTATATTTTGAAAGTGAAAAGAAATAGTATTGAGTCAATTTTTCTTTTTTTTTTCCTTTTTTTTTTTTTTAAATTTTTTTTTTTTTTTTTTTTTTTTTTTTTTTTTTTTTTTTTTTTTTAAATATTTGTTCTATGTATTTACAAGCCTTAAAGTTGCTCTAAAGGTTCTCAAAGTATCACTAGTACTTTTTTCCCCGGGGTAGCACGGTTTTCAATGAGTTATTTTCGGAGCACTCTGGTCCTCAGCGGTTTTCTCAAATGCGTTTTCCTTCCGATCCAAGGTTATGTATGGTTTGATTACTATTTTCTTTTTAAATTTCTGAAGCAAGCTGAGAGGCAGGCATAAAAATCTGATGACAATAAAAAAAAAAATTGATCTTGTCCTCATCTAGCTCACCCCAATCCCCTTCAAAGTTTTGTTGATTTATCATGCTTTGAAACAAAACTGAGGTGCGTATGAAGGGGAGGGAAATTTATTTCTCTGCTTTTGTTCTATTATACAATTTGTTTACAGAAACTGCAAATTTAAAAATTACACTGGCATTTGCAGTCCTTAAAATAATAAATTAGAAGTTTTCAACTTGTTTTTGTTTTTGCTAAACAGATTTGTTTTGCTGTGTGTTTTCCTAAGTATGAGTCCTTGTTTAAAAACAAAAGAAAAAGATTAAACCAGAAAATATTTTCTATAAATAATACACGTATTTTGGTTTAGTGCTCCCGCCCTCAGGTTTGAAGTTTACTTTTGTGGGTTTGTTTTCAAGTACCTTTTTGCCTCCATGATCACCTCGGTGTTTATCGGGTTTTACCTCTCCCACTCGTGCGTGTGTGGGGCAAGGGGGGTCTGCGAGAGAGAATTGGCCTTGCTGCACTGTGATTGGCGAAGACGTGAAACTTTTTAAAAAAATACTTAAATTGTTTCTTTTTTTGTTTGTTTGTTTTAAATCTGTATTTTAAGTTTTAATTATCCTCTGACTCCTCTTCGGCCTCCCGTAGCCACGTGAAGAACGCCGTGACAGATTTTAGCGCTACTCCTTTTCCGTTCTGCTCCGCCGGGTCCTTGCTGCTTTCCCACTTGTAGAAAGCATCCTCTGAAATGACCTCCTCGTCATACAGGCAATCAAAAAACATCCGCAACAAATCTGCAGTAATGGAATAAAGGCAGGGAACATCTGTCAGCTCTGCTGCGGACAGAGATGGCTGCAGATAAGGGGATTAACTCGACCTCTTGGCACGGGAGATGGAGAGACAAGGAGAGCACGAGGCTCTTACTCAGCTATTGCTTCTGGCTGCTCACACTCGGGTGAGGGGGAAAACCGACCCCTCTGACACTGTCAGAGAAGAGGGAAAGCTGGGAAAGCAGCTGTGGGAATATGTTATCTAGAGATTGGCTGGCAAGCAGGACCCACAGCAGCCCATCTCCTTAGTACCACACATCTGGATTCCCTCCAACCCTGGATTTTTGTGGCTCATCAGCAGAGATAATGCCCAACTAATGTCATAAAGGGCACTAAGGATGATTATGTTGAATGTTTTGAGCCACTCCTGGATTTTGTGCTGCAGATTCCCTGGGAATCCCTGTTTCTTTGGCTACTCCCTTGCCTCTTGTCCCACAAGGGTTTTCTGTAGCATCTCTGGGACAAAACTCATGAGTTGACCAACTCGTTCCCTCCAAGCCCACAAACATCTGTGAAGTAGCAATGCAATAACAACACCCATGCTCTCACATGCCCAGGCACTGCAAACTCAGATTATTTTTTACAGCTCTTTTTTTGCTCTCTTTTTATCAACAGGTTTGTCCTTCCTTCTGTGTGGCTGCTCACAGGAGCAACCAAAAGAAGAACCGGCCTCTGGCCAAGCATTTGGGAACCTGAGCTGCTCTAAAAGTCTGGGATCTGGACAAGCTGAACCCACCCACACCAGCTTCTCTCATCTGGTACCTACAAAGGTAAGGAAAAGTACATCTTCTTCCATATCTCCCACAGAACTCCCCTGCCTTTATGCAGGCTCAAATCCCCAGCACAGAGGCAACACTTACTAGGAGGTTGATCAAGTTTTACTATTGATGCTTGTAGTGCATAAAGTGCTTGTAGTTCCTTCTCTGTGTCTGAGTCCAGGTACTTGAGTAAGATGGGCACTCTCTGTTTGATAACAGCAGTGTCCACTCGGAAGCTAGAAGAGTCCGCTGAGGGGAAGAGGAGAAAGCAGGGTCAGCTTGGCACATGGCAACAGGGACAGGCCTTTGACTGCCTTTACTACTGCAAACAGCAATCACAAACACAGATTAGAGTGGAGAGAACAGGAAGATGAGAAGTAACAGGAAGATTTTTGGTTAATGGCTATTTCTGGAAGTCTTTATTTCTGGAAGTCCTTACAGTTCCCCAAGTTCACTGCCTGCAGTGACACCAGCTCTAATACACACAGAAGCAGCACAATCTTACTTTGCAGTGCAAATTGTGTCTTCACAGGCAACTGCATTCAGAAGGTTAGAAGGTTTTTAGAATTTTTTTTTTCTAAAAATACCAGGGCAGAAACAGAATCATAAGTTGCACATGATATAGGAAATAGTAAATATATAAAAATATGCATTAGAAGTCCATCAGCCACAAGGATGATTCAGCAGCTTTCAAGTACATCATGCAACCCAATTAAATGATATTTTGCAAACAAAAGAAAAAAACTCAGAGGCAAGGTCAAAATTTAAACCAGAGGATGATTTTCCTTACATAACAGGGAACCCTGAGGCGCTGGAAATGAAGTCCTGTGTCATGTCTCTGTTAACACTAGGTGGCACGAGCAAGGTTCTGTTCCCAGAGAGAGGAAGGAGCTGGCCTGTCCCTCCCCTCGCTCACACGGTGGAATCCAGCCCGTTCTCTCCCCCAAATCACAGCTCAGAGCAGAACCAGACCCTTTACAAGTACCACTTTTTGCTGTGCCAGATGCCAACAGTAAAGTTAAAGAAAGCCAAGTGAATTGAGCAGATGTTTCTGGCTGCGGTGCTTTACTCAACCCCCCTGAGGGTCTGAGGCTCACGTGTCTGACTTGGGAGCCCTCCCTTCCCTGTGTTTCCAGCTGTACAGTCAGGCAATCCACATAAATCATCTTTCCAAAATTGAAACTTTGGATATAAAACTCTTACACGCCTGAGCCCCAGACTGGCTTTGTCCTGCAGCCCACGCTGGGGTGCCCACGCATCTTTGCTGACACAGGAGTGATATGTTAATTGCCTTAATGATGATCTCAGTAATTTCCACCTTTGTCAAGAAAATCAACAAACAATCTGGCATTACCCAGGGCTGTCTGAGACCCCTGCTCACACAAAGTCACTGGGACACACCAGGGTCACCTCAGGAACACCATACCCGGCAAAGTGCCCGGCTGTCACGTGGGGAAGGGACACCCTGTTCTTGGGCATAATCCCAAATGATGGAAAAGCCTTAGTGTGTGTCAAAACACAGCCTTGGCTGTGGTATAAACCTCAAAAATACCAAATACTTCTTTGCAGGTTTGGTTTGTGTGGTGTTTACACTGCAAGTTACTCACCTATAATAGCTGCTTTACAAACTGCTGTCATTAAAGCTCTAAGGAATGTAGGTGAACTCATCTGGCTTTCATCTAGATTAGCCTGGAATCAAGAGTAAACGGACCAGTTAAAAACATGGAGCTGCAGGACTGCAAAACTCCAGCTCTGAACCCGGCAGCAAGTCCAGGCTCAGCTGCTGCTGCGGCACAAGCCCAGCTCAGCCCTGCAACACTCGGCTTCCCCACTCCCTCCTTGGAACTCCCTCAGGACCTCAGCAGGCAACCCCAGCTCCCAAGGGATCCATGTGCCACCGAGCACCTCCTGCAAGGAGCCGTTTGTCTGCAGAACCAAACCAACCACGCTGGGCTCCTGCAGTGTCCTCACAGAGCCTCACAGAGTTTTAGGCTTTTCCAACAAACTCTACGGCGTGCTCCTTGGGTGGAGATTGTTTGCTTTGTGAAAGAAATTCAGGGAATGGCTGTGGAAACTCCCAGATTTTCAGTGCTGCTTTCATTCCACCCTCAAATCCTCTAACAGCAGTGGAAAAATGACATTTGTAACACATTGCTCTGCCATAGAAATAACTGAACTGAAGCTGACCAAGATTTAGTATAAGCACAGATGTAAATGCATTGGTTGAGTATAATTTCAGATACTAAACATATGAGTTAAAGAAGGCAGCCAGAGACTGAGAGCAAAGACCAGTGGGATGACAGACCTTTTCCTCTTTTTTTCCTTTATTTTAATTTTCTCTTCCAGTGCCTGGCCCAGTGCACTAGGAAAGGTGCTCTCAGTGACTGCCCAGCGTGTTTTTACAGTGGGAAATTTGGAGAGGTCATGTTGGAAAAAAGTAGCGAGAAACTTCCCTATTTTATGAAGAAATGATGTAGCAGTGTATATCTAAAATGTACTGAGTGGCAGAAGCAGGATATTCAGTGTCAGAAAGTATACAGTATTTAAAAGACGTTAATATGGCTAAAAGCCTTCCTTCCTAAAACTGACTCTTAAATACTGATTATATTTCAGATTTTAATTCTTTGGAAGTGTTGATTGCATAGATCAAATCCCCACAGTGTCCCGTACCCTGAGATGTCCAGACCAGAACATATTTACAAAAGCAGTTAAACAGTCTGCAGGGAGGGTGAAAATCTCTTTGTACCTCTACCCAGTCAAAGATTTGTTCATCATTCGCCTTGTCCTCAACAATGAGTTTTTCCAGCTGCTTGTTCAGCTCTTCTGCAGACAGTTCTTTCTCTGAAAGTGCTTCTGAGGAACTGGAACAGTCAGACTCTGTGAACTCCAACTTCTGCAACACCACACGTGATGATGAGAATTAGTGAAACGTACTTTCCTAGCCTGAATTAGACCAGATTGAAGCAGGAAACTACATTTAATTCTGTTTCCTGGTATCTTTCAGCTGCTCAGTTATCATTACCATATCAACTTTCCCTGTTCCAAAGGTTAGGAAGCATTTTACAAACACGTGGGAACTCCATTATCCAGCAAAGACAAGGAGGCACCTCAGGCAGCTCCAGCCCTGCACAGCAGAGCACAAAATCAAGTGTGTGTTTTCTGGCTGGAGCTACAGGGGCTGGAATGCAACAACCAGAGCTGGCACTGGCTCAAAGGAATTGCAGCCAATGCCCCAATTCTTGAAAACTGTGACAGAAGAGCTGCAGTCCCCTCAGCAAGGCCCAGGCCATGGTAATAATTTCATTTCCTGCAGCAATTCCAAAGTGCCAGAACAGGGCAGCAGATCAGTTGAAGCTCCAGAGGGGGACAGTGACTTCCTGAGGAGCAACACCAGCAAGAGGTGAGGTGCCTCCATCAGTCCTGGCTCCCTCCGGGATCATAATCCAAGGTGGGATGAGTGAATAAATCCTGCCATTACTTGTGACCCTTCTACAATTGTCTGTCCTTGCTCCAGAACTCATTAGTGAATGTTTTTTTCCCAGCTGGAGAAAAAGGTCTCCTCGAGGAAGCCAGGTGACTGGAGATGTGTGTCTGGGAGCAGCAGGGACAGGCTTTCCTCCCTGTGCTTTCAGGTAGTGCTGAAATCTACCCCAACGTGGAGACACTTCATCCCATATTCCAACTGGGCATACAAATGGGATGGGAGAGGATGAAGAAATGGGATGATCAAACAAATGATCTGAACTCACCTGTTCCATGAGAAAGGTATGTACATCCTCCCCTTCGGGCAAGTAGTCCTTCCAACTGAGGCCAGATTCCCTCCATAAGGCTCCCACTTTCTTATGGCTCTGAAACACAAGCAGTTTGTCCATTTAAAGAGCTGAGGGACACCCTGGGAACTCACAGGGGCCGGAATGGTGCAGCTGTGTCAGGAGGAATAAAGGACAGTTCAGCCACCCAACAAACGGCCAGCAATGAGTGAGAACATCTGGAGACCCCGTGCAAGAGAAACCACATGTGCAATCCCCCTGGGAATGCACATCTTGTCAGGTGGGCAATGCCTGGTGACGGGCAATGGGCAAGGCAGAAGTGACACGGGGGGTTCGCAGCGAGCTCCGAGGTCACCCAGGAGCAGTGACACGTGGAACAGGGCACCTTCCCACGGCTGACTCAGACCCCTCTCCTGACTTTGTCACTCACACTCCCTTGCCTTGACAGTAAGGCTCTGGCAAACTGCTCCTTTGAGAAAACTCCTCATTTACACGGCTGTTTGCTGCGCAGAAACCAAGCCTCAAATTCAGGCACATAATCCCAAATTCTTTCTTCAGTTCCTAGAGTTTATGTAAACCTTGAGAGCAGTGCCTTTGAGCACAGACAGTTCAGCCTTTTGCAGCCTCTAATGTCACACTGACCTTAGAGCCTCCTGCCTCAGAGAGCACAGTTCTCACACACACAGTTCTGACAAGAATAAAAATGCTGAGCACAACCAGCTCTTTTCACCCAAATGCTTTGCCAAAGTTTCACCTTACAGCACCTGCTCACAGGAGATCACTGAGTACCTAAGTCAAGCTGAGAAATGCTGCCTAATTTTAAGTTTACAAAGCAGATCACAATTTTCAGTTTACAATACATAGTTCCTGCTCTGATCCAACAAGATCTGGATTATATGGCTGATGTTACACTGAAATACCCGAGTCCAAGTCTTGGCCTGGACAAGATCTGATCAGAAAGCTGTGGCAGAAACAGAGACCCAAGGCTGTGCTTCCACACCCAGAGCACAGCAGCTTTTCTTTCAAAGAATAGTTAAAAAAAAAAAGAAAATTGACTGTCCAAACAAGCACAAGACTAAAATAAATAAATAAATAAATAAAAAGCCACTCTTTGCACTGTTGGACTGAAATGCTCCTAGAACATTCAACCTTACTTGAATGCATGCTTGAAAAAAATGAAAAAAAAGGCAAGTGAGGGATTTTACAGGGTTGGAAATAGACACTATCCAAAGTGCAGGATTGAGCTGGATTAAAAAAAAAAAAACAAAAAAAACCGACAAAAATGGAGATGAGTTATAGGGAAACCACCAAACTGGTTGGACACGCAGCTGTGAGGTGTGAAAGAGAGCTCTCGGAGTCACGGGGTGAGGAGGTGTCACTACCCCAGTGCTGGGTGAACCTCAAGAGTCGGCAGGTTTAGTTTGGATAAGCACACAGCAGTCTGAGGCCATCGGGAGCTTATCCGAACCCTGAGAACCTCTCCGGTCTGCAAGAACAGTTCTCTCGCAAGATTCCCGGCACTTGCTGCTTCTGGTCAGCCCAGAAATCCCTTGAGCATGTCCCTCTTGCAGTATTTCAGCACTCTTAGCTTCTGGGAGAAGCCAGGTGCAAAGGTACCTGCAAAAGGGAAAAGTGATGAGAAAACAAAAAGTTAACTCAACTTTTTGGAACCTCGTAAGGCTTGGTTGGAAACTGGGGGTGCGAGGCAGATTTCCTAAGTTATCTGGACTGGCTGGCCCATCCCTAAATGTCCTCATGTGGGAATGGTGAAGGTTTCATGCATGAACACGGGCGCTGCATCCACTCCTCCCTCCGGAGGACAGGAGCATGGGGCACTCACCATTTGTTTGCATAGAAGGTGCAAGATTTCAGCAAGCAAGACACCGGCTCTTCCCACAGGAAGCAAGGGTTTGCTAAATTCTCTAGAATGAAAGAAAAACAGGTGTTTTTTCTGTTATAATTCATATTTGGAATGCAAATCCAGGGGTAGTGATCAAACTGAAGCAGGAAATCACCTTTAACTTCTGCCAGGGAGGAAGGATTTGATTAATCCAGCACTGCTGATAAAACATTTAGTGATGCAGTGACCTTGTCACAACAGGGCTAATTACAAAGACTTGAAGTTTGCATCCAAAAATATGTTATATTTATGTCAAATCCACTAATTTTTGTGGGATACTGCACTTGGATAGACTTTGAAAAGACTGTTATTTTCTTAATATACTGGTAATAGAAACAGGAACCATTCAACTGGCTCACAGTCAATCCCCAAATCTGTAAGGACATACAGAAAATACAGGAATTCTGGTCTAGGAAATAGTTTCTTGTCTTGCAGACAAGGTTTTGTGCCCCTTCAAGGCAGTGCCCAGATGGTAGAAAAATAGAATCCCATAGTTTGGGCAGAGACACCATCCACTGTCCCAGGCTGCTCCAAGCCCCAATATCCAGCCTGGTCTTGGATATCTCCAGGGATCCAGGGGCAGCCACAGCTGCTCTGGGCACCTGAGCCAGGCCCTGCCCATCCTCGTGGTGGGGGAATTTATTCCAAATATTCCACCTAGCCCAGCCTACCCTCACAGGGGGTAATTGATTCCAAATATCCCACTTAACCCAGCCCTCCTTCTGTTACCCTCTGAGCCACGCAGCCGCTTTTCAATACCTCACTCTCTGCAAGTCTAATTCTCACAGCCTCTGTGCTCCCAAATCTCTCCACTCTACAGCACTGGAGTATTTTTAAGCTCAGTTGAAATAAGCAGCAAACTTATGGATAAAACCCTTCTCCAAGGGTGAAAGCACCAAGCTCCCTTCCCAGCAGAGCTCTCAGGCTGGTGTGGGCCCCTGAGGATGTGCAACAGCTCTCCTGGGGGAGCTGAGCCTCCAGCACTGCTCATCCTTCACCTACTGATGGGAACCACACTGAGAAAACACTACAGGCACAGCTGGGAAAGCATCACTTACTGTATAAGTTCTCTCATAGAGATTCCTCCTTCTTTTAACATGGGGGTCACCAACTCAGCCAGGTACAACCAGATATGGGGTATATCTATGGCCATGTCATCCGCCATCTCCAGGGTCTCGGAAAAACTTCAGAAGGAGGAAGAAACACCAAGTATTAAATAAAATTTAATTAATTAATTAACCCCCCCCATATTTTTAAATATAATTTAAAAATTTTATAATTAATTTCTTCTTTCAAAAGAAATCTGCACTTGAAAAATATTTTGTAACGTAAGAGGAGCGAAGAGAGAGAGGAGTGAGGAGAATCACAAAGGTAAAAACCTATTGCCATTTTATGCTTTTGGTACTTCCAAACTGCCAAGACTGAATTTCTCCATGCAGTAAAAAGGAGAATATGTGGAAAAGACACCACCTTTTGTATATCCAACAGAGACATCCAGGAAACCTCCAGTTAAAATAATTGTTATATCCCAGCAGCCAATCACTTGCTGAACAGTAACATCTATAAAACTAAAAAGCTTTTTTTTGTCTGTATATATAAACCATCAAGTAAATGAAACCTTCTTAAAAATATCCAAACATTTAGAGAAGGGGGTTAATTCTAACAGAATTCCAAATGTAAGGTAAGCAGTGAAATGTGTGTAAGAGGTCAGTTCAGCAGAGGAGAGTTTCTATCTGCAGCAGGAATTAGAGGACTGCTCCCCAGTGATACACTTTCCAGAATGGCTCAAAACTCTTCTTTCCTATCAAGCCCTTGCAGGTGGCTTCACTTCCCATGCCTGAGAAATGGTAATTTTTCTGCTCTCTGCCATTTCTATCATGGTTCGTTTCTCCCTGAAAACCTTGAAAAGTCCAGTGTCCTGTTTAGTGACTATAAATCCACATTTTCTCTCACGTTTCAAAGCAGAAACCATCTCCTTTGCTTTGTTCTTTGCATCTTCTGCTGCTCCTCCAGCCTTTCTGCCAGAAATATTTTTCCTTTTGTGCATCTCCCCAGCCATGGGCTGTGACCAGTGTTCATCCTGTGACCCCTCATTACACTTCTCCTGTGTCTGTAGGTGAGGGAGTTCCTGGTGTTCTCCTCAGCACCCACTGAACACCACTTGCCCTTTCCATCATCTTCAGGAGTTGTTTTGCATTGCTTATTCACATTCAGAGAACAGATCCCAATATTTCATCAAAATCCATTTATCCAAACTCCAGGCAGCTTGAGAGCAGCTTTAATCACAATACATTTTGGATATGTATCACCTCAAACGAGTCCCTCTGACCATCAGTGCTGTGTGGACACAAGAGTATTCCCTGTGGATTTAGATTTTTTCAGCTGTTCCATACAGTTTTGAGCTCAGGCTACCTAAACCTTTCCTGTGAGCTGAAAGAAGTTCAGGGACAGACACGGGTGTGGGGAGTTTCCTGTTGGAGCAGTCAACGGTACCACAGTGACAGGGACTCATATTAAAGCCAGACAGAACTATCTCCTCAGAAACTCAGTATACTTCATCTGCTCCTTCACTGCTGCATTTGTGCTTATCCCTGTTTTATCCCTCTTGCTCTGCACCCCAGCGAGGACCGAGTGCCACCAGGGACCTCCAGGGGAACAGGGATTGTTTTAGTACTGGACACCAGGCTGGGAACACAAAACTCAGGGAGCTGAAATGAGCCAGCAGCTGAAACTCGGGTCTCTTGAGGCAGGTCCAACCCATCTGCTGCATGTTCTCCTCTTCAGCCCCTCGAGGGTTCGGCCGCTCCAGCTGAGGCGTCCTGGGAAGTGGCAAAGTGTTGGTGAAGCTTTCTTCCCACTGGGAGAGTGGCTGAAGCTCTGGGTGCACAGGAGATACTGAAGTTGTGTGAAGGATTCTGACTGCCTCCTCTTCCAGTTACATTCAGGCATTTGCAAAAGGCAAACAGGGAGAAATGCAGCACAGAACAGGGATCTGAACACACACGTTTAAATAGACACCTCGAGATCCACTTCAAAATAAAAACTGATATAAATATGAACATATTTATGTTCACTAAAACATCTGAAACACTAAAATATATTACAATAATAATATTCCTTATAAATACACCCAAATGATCCAGTCCTTCCAAAAGAATGTGTGGAGAGGTCAGGATACCATAACAAGGTGGGAGATCATTTCTCTGCAGCACAGCATCCGTTTGCAAGAAACACTGAGGAAAAGAATCTGTGGATTCTCTGTGCAGGAATACCAACCCCTTGAAGAAATCCTGCTTGCTCAGCTTTCCCGAGTGCACCAGCTGATGTAACAACTGGCCCATGTGATCCCTGGTGATCTGACTCCGCTCCAGCGTGGACTCCACGCCCACGCGCACGAACACGGGCAGCAGGTTCTGGGCACTCAGCTCCTCCACACACTGCATGGCCTCCTGTGGAACGACACACAGCAGTCACCCTCCACCAAAAAGCATCAAACACGGGGCACGAGAGTATTTCCTGCTGTAACACCGGGGATTTTTGGTGAAATGAGTACTTAGTGAGGCTGCCAGGAAAAGTGCTGAATTAGGCTGTGGAACCTCATCACATAATAATAACAAAACCAACAATAATAGCACTAGTGGAATTTATACTACTCAGGTAACAATTTTTAAAATACACAATCATATTCCAGGGCTCCTTGGTGAAATGACAGGAGTGGATGCCATCAAAACACCTATTACTGCATCGAACATCAAGCCAAGTCAAAAAAAAGGTATCAGATCAGATTTGTTACTGATCTGACCTGGCACAAATGCCCGTTACAAACCCATAGCTCATCAAGAAGCAGAAAATAGCTGGGGAGCACTTGGAGGAAGATTTCCCCTTTCTAAAGCTCCCACTTTCAGACTTAAGCATTTTGCAGCCTAAACAAAGAAAACACTCAGAGACATTGAGAGCAGCTCTCAAAGTCCCACATCACAAATCTTCACTGCCATCACAAAGATCTTTCTGTGATCTGGGTCCAGCCCACAGATCTCAGGGGACTTCCTGACCACAGGCACCTGCTCTGTGACCAGTTATGCCTTGAGCTACCAACACCTGGCAGCCCCAGATGTGTTTCCTTGGGCCCTGTAGGGCTTTTTCCTGCAGGTCAGGAGTGCAGTGCTCCTGGCCTGCCTGCTCAGGCTGGAGTTCATCACAGGACCCTGCTGTCCTGGGACACACAGGGAACCCTGCTGGCCGACCCTGCTGTCACCAGGGTCACAGCTCAGCAGTTTGAGCTCGTGCTCAGATCAGACTCTGAGGACCAAACATCTGCAAAGGGTCATTCCTCTGCTCTACACAGCAGGAACTCACTCGTGGGTGGCTGCAGGAACATGAGTGTAGGCAGTCAGAGCTTTGCTGCACCTGAGGAGCACCAAGAATCCGCCAGGACCAAGTAATTCCTGATGCAAACAAGCTGCCTTGATTCCATGAACTTTTAACCAGCCCTGCCCTGTCTAATGCAATTCAGCTTCATTTTTCCAGCCAGCCACAGAAACACACTGCTGTATTTGTAAACAGGGAACTGAAGTGGACCCTTTATTGCAGGCATCCAGGGGAGCCTTTGGAGTCCATCCTAAGCAGGAAAAAGAGCAGAGACTCCTTGGCTCACCAGCCCCTGGGTCCCAGGCCAGCTCACTGCCAATCAGAGCAAGGTTTTTCCTCTCCAAACCAAGTATTTAATAATTTATCCCAATAACTAGATGTGAACTCTAAACAATCCATCATAAGACTATTAATCTTTCCAATTATTAATTGGAAGTCCAATGAAATGGAAGCAGCAATTCTGCTTTTAGGGTGCCAAACCAGCAACTCCCAAGTGCTGCCATTTCAAACTTGGCAGGTTTGAGAATTTATTGCAGGGAAAGATCAAATGAAGCAGCTTTGCAGCCAATGTAACACTTCTTGAAAACTCCCTGGACGAGCTAAAAAACCCATTTACAAGGGAAACAAAATTTCAACCTTTTAACTAGGAAGTGATGACAGCTGCTCAGTAATTTCCAATGTTTATTAAAAATCCTCTGGAGTGGTTTGTTCAATATTTAGTATTGCTTTATCTGCCTCCAGATCAGAACAGCACATGCTTTGATAACTAAATGAAAACCTCTGTTTATTTTCCCACTAGCTTTTCTGCTTCCAAAATTGCTGCTATTATGGAGCTGCTCAGTGATTCATGACAGACACACATCCATCTTGCTACTTTAAAACACACAGGCTGGGCTATTTTTCCTATTACCAGCAGGGCAGAAAACAAGCTTGGGAGACAGCTGTCCTGAAAGTGCCCCTGGAGCTGCTGCTGCTGCTGGGCTCTGTCTGGCCCTGCTGCCTCTGTGTGGGCTGGGTGCTCACAGAGACACATCCTGGAGAGAAATCAATCACTGCTGCTCCTCAGAGCTGTCTGCTAAGTGAGGTTTGCATCTTGCTTACCTTAAAATCATTAATATGCAAGAACTCGTCAATGATAGATTTGCATTTTCTCTCTATTTCCTCTTCTGAGAGTGAAGGCTTTTCTTGAACTGGAGCTGGGGGAGCTTCTGGCTTGGCTGGTGGAAATACAACAACAAAAAATGTTTGGAAAAGGAAAATCAGCATTTTAGAGATGACATTCTGAGAACAGAAGTCACTAGGGCAGGTGTGTCCCCTGTCCTACCCTCAGGCACAGGGTAGTTGGGGCTTGGAGCAACCTGGGATAGGTGGAAGGTGTCCCTGCCCATAGCAGGGGGTTGGAACTGGATGAGGTTCCTTCTAACTCAAACCATTCTGGGATTCTGGGATCCTTTCCTGGCTATCTTTCCCTCATATGAACTCCCAGTATTTCTGTAACTTGACCTTGCAGGATCACAGCTGGCAGTGGCACAGGTTGAACACCTTCAAAGCTCTGCACGAACATTAAATAATTAAATGGGAGCTGTTGCAGCAAAGTTAAAATGCGCTGACTGTGATGGGCAGCAGCCCAAGGCAATCTCCCAGTCATATCCCAAAACCCTGGTCCCCATGGACTGTCTGCAACATCCCAAAGCTTCAGGATAAGCCTGTGCTGTGCTGTGGCAGTCGAGGTGTTTCCCTCACTGCAGCAGTCTCCAGATGTTTCCCAGGGAAAGAGCTGAACGCTGTCCTTACTATAAAAGTTTTGTCCACTGGAACATCACCCTAATTTTCCCATTTTCCCAGGCTGGCAGGAGGGAAAAGCAGGAGCTGCAGGACTGACAGGGTGACAGGTGAGATCCTGGTGGGTGACACCATCCTGCTGCACCAGGGCTGGCTTGGAAGGAGGGTTGGCAACAACACGGTGCTAAAAAGCTGCTGTGCATCATCTGTCCCAGACCCAAATCCCCGCCCTGGCCCTGGGGAATGCTTGAAAAGGGGAGATATGACTTCACTGGGCACTGAAAAAGCATTCCTGAAGAACTGACACTGATTTGGGGGACTTTGTGTGCAGAAGCCAGTGGGACAGTGACAGAAACAGGGCAGACAATGCCATGGGGTGGTGCTGTGCTGGCACCTGCAGCCTTTCAGCCCCGCTGGATCCCCCCAGGGCTGCAGAGAGGGATAAAGCCCACGCCTGCCTGACTCAGCTGGGTCACCCAGCTCTGGGAGCTGCATCCCAGCTGCAGCAGCCTGACAGTGCCCTGCACAGGCACCTGTCACTGCTCCTGACAGGTTCTCCCTTGTGCCTTCCCACACATTCAGCAAGGCTCCCCGAGCACAGAGGAGCCGTTACCAGGTTCCTTGGCTTTGTTCCTCTCGGCCTCGGTGCTGTTCCTGTCCACCTCCATGCCTCCTGTCAGCTGCTTCACCGTCTCCAGCATCTCCCTGCGCTGCTCCTCCTGGGCCTGGTTGTCCAGCAGCAGCTCCTTGCTGCTGCTGCCCCGGAGGAAGGTGTTGGGCCGGGACAGGGAAGCTGGCAGAGGTTTGTCGTTCTTCTCCCTGCCCGTGCTCCCGCGACTGCCAAACAAAAACCCGCTCAGAGCTTAGAAAAGGGACTCGAGGGCTTCACTGCAGGAGAAAACCACCCCCCGAGCCCTGCAGGATTGTTCACTCTTTCTTACAGCTATACACACAACCAAAATTAACTAATTTCAGAGATGCACAAACACAAATACCCAGAGTGGACAGAACAGCCAATGCTTCCTAGAGAGTATGTGGAAAAGCAGTGCTCTAAAGCACCCATTTAATACATGGAATAGTGAATTTTATAACACAAGGACTCTGTTTCCCTTTGAAATGGTGTGAGAGCTTTAGATTAGATGTAACAAAGAAATTCCCCCCTGGGAGTGTGGGCAGGCCCTGGCACAGGGTGCCCAGGGTAGCTGTGCCTGCCCCTGAATCCCTGGAATTGTCCAAGGCCAGGTTGGGGGGAGCTTGGAGCAACCTGGCAGAGTGGGAGGTGTCCCTGCCCATGGCAGAGGGTGGGAATGGGTGATCTTTCAACTCTCTCCAACCCAAAACATTCTGTGATCCCATGAGAGTTGTATTTTTTACCCATTAATTGAAAAATACCTCCCAAACTGTGAGGGCTCCCAACAACAGGTGACAACAATCTGCCCTACTAATCATTGTGTTAATGAATAAACTGGGCAAAACGATGACAAAATGGAGTAATTTCCAGGTAAGCCCAAGTTTTACTTGAAATAGAAGGGAAAACATTAGAGGCACAACCCAGGAAAACACTTCAGCAGCTTGTGTGCACTGGAAGGAAGATCCAGTGACATTTTAAATGAACTGTACATTTATAAACCGTGTCTAGAGTTAATAAATTATTGAGGGTTAATACATGTTTCATGCTCCAAACCGGAGCGGCTGCAGCCCTGAAGGAATTGGAGTGAGAAAGAGGCTCTGCAGTTTTTTGTTGAATGTGGGAGCATGGGCAGGTCACACCTCCTGGGAAGGGTCAGACACAATTTTATGCTGCATTTCTGCAGAGTTTTAGGTGTGTTTTCCTGGATAAATAAACCTACTGACCTAGCTCCATTCATAGCCATTAAATCCAACCTATTTATTACTACATTTTATCTGAAGAGTTTGTAATCTGTTAAACACAACTACCCTTGACTGAAGGGTGAAGTGGAAACTAAAACATTAATCAACATGGTTTTAAAAATTAATTCCACCTTTCTCCCCTATGATACTATAAAATACAGGCATGTTCAAAGGTAACTCTGAGTGGGAAAAGGACACAGCCATTCCTGAAAAAGCAAGGAATTATCTTCTGTGCAAGTGCTGGTGCCAGAGCAGGGGGTGCAAAGAGCAGAAGAGCGATGGAGCGACACTCACCTCGTTAAGGCCCTGCGAGATTCTAGTTCTGAAGATGCAGATGAGGCAGATACTGGGGACACTGGAGGCTGCAGGGCAGAAAATCTGTTCAGACTTGTGGCACTTGGTCGCAAGGAGTCTGGAGATGGTGGAGACAACACAGAGCAGAGCGACAAGGTCAGGAGCTGCTGACAGCTCAAGGTCACCGAGCAGTTCAGCCAGAGCCACGGGGACAGAACTGCAGGGAAAGGCTGGGCCTGCCCCACTTCCACCCTTCTTGCCAGGAGCTCACACAGAGAGCAGAGGAGCCAGAGGGGAGCCCTCACTGGGGCTGCAGCTCCTCCCGAGGGGCAGCTCTGATCTCTCCTGTGAGCAGGGACAGCACCCAGGGAAGGGCTGGAGCTGGGCCAGGGGGGTTTGGGCTGGAGATCAGGAAAGGTTCTTCCCCAGAGGTGCTGGACACTGCCCAGGGAATGGTCCCAGCCCCGAGGCTGCCAGAGCTCCAGGAGCCTTTGGACAGGCTGGGATTGTTGGGGTGTGTGTGCAGGGCCAGGGGTTGGACTCTGATCCTTGTGGGTCCCTTCCAGCTCAGGACATTCCCTGGTTCTGTGAACCCCACCCAAACCCTTGGCAGCAAAGCCGAGGGTGAGGGTCCATCCTGACTTACCCATCTCGCTTGCCTTGGCTCCACCACTGCTGCCCTTCCCCCAGCTGCCCAACTGGGCTTTAGGCACGAGCTGAATCTTCTCATCTATTGTGGGCTGTAAAACACACCAGGATGTACAAGGGCAAATCATACAGTGTAATAATAAATGGGAGATGTTCTGGCAATAATCCCAGTCTCGTCTACACCAAAATACACTTCACATATTTTTGGAAGACTAAACTGTGGCTCAAGACAGGGAACACAAACAACAAAGGGCATCACAAAGAGGCTCTTCCAAACGTCAGTGAGAGGTGAGAGACATTCACAGTGAGCAGGAGCTTCTTTTTACTGGGAATTCTGAAGCTCAGGAAGGTAGAAAAGCTCAGTATATCCATATTTGAAAGATATTCAGTTTGTTTCTGATGTGTAAGCCAGTTTCACTGTCCATCAACTGTCCAGTCATGGCTTTGGGGGGATCTGCAGGGCACCAAACAATCCAGAGGGCAAAGGACGACAACAGGTCACAGAACCTGGAGGAAGAAGTGATGTCTGGCAAGAAGACAATATTGATTTTACAATGTTCAGTTGGAGAATTTATTGACAAGGAGGTTGTGACCTCACAGATCTCATGGGAGCTCCTCTTTCCTTCCAAAGCAGCTGCTCCAGCAGCTCCATTTGTATGGAACAGAGGGGAAGGGCTTTCCCCAGGTGAGTGGTAAGGCCAGGCAGGAGGAGGCTGAACCTCTCCTGCTAATGAAGTTTTGGAGACTGCTTTATGACTTTCAGAAGGAACAAACTGACTGGATCTGCAGAAGGGCTGCAGTCTGTCCAGGTCCTGCCTTAGAGCTCTCCGAGAATCCAGGCACTGAGCGTAAAAATTCAGGGCAAGTGACATTAAGTGGGATAAGGGAATATTTAGGATTCAATGATTTATGCAAAGGTCAGACTTTTCCTTGGCAAGAAAACCCAGAGCTGTTCTGAAGTTTGACAAAGGAGAAATCTCCAACTTGCCCAACCTGCAGCCTGGAAAACTGTCCCAAAATCACCAGTTTAATGGTGAAATAACAGGAAGATTCTCATCTGATGGATGAACATGAGAGTTTATCACATACTTTGGGATGCAATCATGCCACCAAGTCAAGAAACTTCTAAGAGTAGACACAGCTCTTCTCATTCTAGTGGAGCATCCTAAGTCTGGAGTGCTGCTATTTGTGACACATCAAAATGGATGTGGCCGCTCTGTTTTATTGAGGAGCAGCATCAGAGTAATCTTAAGAACTTGAGGGAGCCAAGGATTTCCAGCAGGTGTTTGAGACCCATGGAACATGGGTGCTGTGCTGCATCTCCATGTCACACAATACCCTGGCTCACACTTTCATCACTGAGTAAAATGCAGATTTTCTGACTGTGAGAGCTTCTGGATTACTAAAAGAACACTGTCAACCTGAGAAAGAAGTCTGCACACTCCTTTCCCTCAGGACAAAACAGGAACATCCAGAAGATAATGCAGCTTGATTTGCACACAGTATTTAACTCAGAGGATTTAAAATGTCCCAGCCCCATGTTTTGACCTGCACACACCATCCCGGTCCTTCCTGGATTAACAGATGTTTTGTTGCCCTGAAGGAGGCTTGTGCTGGCACCTACCTTGGTGATTTTAAGGAACTTGGTGGGGTCCAGCACTCTGCTGTTCTTTGCCCCCTGCACAGTGTTCCAGCCGCCTTCGTCGACCCGCGGGACACCTGAGGAGGACAAACAGAGCCACATTCAGCTCAGCTCACCCTGCTGCTCTGATGGGCAGAATCCTGCTCAGGAATGTCCTTTTCTCTGGCATGCCATAACCAGCCTGCCTGCCTGTGCTCTCACAGAACAGTTCTCGCTCCTTCCAGGTGCTGCTTTTGGAAGGGATGGTTCCTGCATGGATTTCTCTGCGTTGCTGTGGGTGCTGCACGTTCACGAGCTCGCAGAAGGAGCAGGTGAGATGCTTCCCTGGCAGAACCTCACTCACCCCACAATTCCTGCAGTGCTTGGCTGGTCTGACACAGAGCCCCTCAGACACTCCCAGGTTCCTCACCTTCCCCTAAGTCACTTTTAGGATAATTAAAGTCTACATGGATTTTCTTTACACGCTGATTTTTGAAAACAGCATTTTCATTTGACAATCCTTAGAGAATCCCCCAATACTTAAAGAATCCCCAAACTTACTTTCTCCTTGCCCTGCTCTGTCCCAGTCTTAATTTTCCCAGTCACTCCAAATTAGTCTTCAGACAATGCCCTGAGGGCCAGGAGCAGTTTAAGGTGATGCCAAGACACTCCCTCAGACAGAGTCAGCACCTCATGACTTTAACAACTAAAGACAATACAGTTACTCCTGAAATTAGAAGTTTTTCTCTTGAAATGAGACTCTGCAGTTCTGCAGTGCATGAGAATGAATGGCAAATCTGACTCCTAAGTAATAAGTGGTTAGAACAGATTTCTGGCAGCCTGTCACAAAATCAAACATGGTTTGCATGAAAGGAATGTGTAAGCACTGTTGGCCTGTGGTTGGTTATTTTCACCCATGAGATTTGCCCCTGAAAATCCCCACAGCCAATACATGGCAGATCTGTTCCTTTTCCAGCCTCTGCCATATCAAGCCCATTACATTACACTGCTCATTACATTTAGGAAAAAAAAAAAACCCACAGATTTTTTCCTTTAATGTGGGATTCCCTCTAAGACCATTGGATGTGAAATGAGCAGCCAACTTGGCTTTTATTTACCCGGTCTCCTCTTGTCTTTGGTCATGAGTTGTTGCACCTTCCTCTGTTCTTCCTGCTCTTCAATCTTGGCTTCTTTGTGGATCTGCTCGATGGTCTTGGGGCCCTGGTCTGCTCTCCGTGACACCCAGTTGCACTGGGGAAGAAGCAAAAAAACCAAACACGTGCTCAGGGAAACTTCCAGGGGAGCATCGAACGTGGCGAGTTTGAATATTGGGAAAGAGGATTCATCCTCCCACCCCTGTCATGCCTTAGAGGGGCTGGAGAAAATCCTGTGGAGCTGGGACATGTTATGGGCATGGTTATCCCAACACCCAAGAGCAGAGCCTTGTACTCAGGTACAGAGACTGCAGCAAAGACCTGACTGAATTCAGGACATGTTCATCCCCAGCCTGCACATTCCCAGCTTCTCTTTCAAGGCTCAGAGGAAAGAGAAGAGCTGCTGTCACTCTCTGTTTATGCCTGGTACTCTTTGTGGGAGCCTCTCCTCCAAGCTTGAGGGAAGAAATGAAACCTTGAAAATAAAAAAAGCAAGAAGTGACTGATTTAAAGTGGAGACAGTGCTTTGCACTCCAGGAATGGTGATGGCTGACACAGGAATCCTGCAGAGAGGAGCAGCAGTCACTCCAAAAACACTTTCCTTGCTTGATGTGTCTTTTCAGCCATGCAGTGCCCAGACCCCTCCAGACCTGGAATGACCAGGCTATCCCTTATCTTGCTGCAGCCTCATTACAGCTGTTGGGGTAATTATCTACCTGCAGCCAAAATGGTGACTTCAGCCTCCACACAACCCAAACCAATTCCCCTGGGGGGAAACTGCAGGTGCTGGGAGAGTTTGTTCCACCCACGGTCACATCTTCACCTGCACCGCATGTGTACTGACCATGGCACCAGGACAACATGGAGACATTTCCTGGCTTTGGACAGCCAGGCTTGGGGGAGAAGGGGAGCAGATCTCCCCCTAACATCCCACTTGAGCCATGAATCCCAGCTCTTGAGCCATGAATCCCAGCTCTTGAGCCATGAATCCCAGCTCTTGCATGCTGCTCTTGCAGCTTATCCAGCCTGGATATGGAAAGGAACATGACAGACTGGCATCAGAGCTGGGCGTGTTCACCTGCAGGAGAGAAGGCCCCAGGGAGAGTTCAGAGCCTCTTCAGGGCCTAAAGGGGCTCCAGGAGAACTGGAGAGGGACTGGGGACTAAGGGGAATGGCTTCCCACTGCCAGAGGGCAGGGTCAGATGGGATATTGGGAAGAAATTCTTCCCTGTGAGCGTGGGGAGGCCCTGGACTGGTTGCCCATGGAAGCTGTGGCTGCCTCTGGATCCCTGGAGGTGTCCAAAACCAGGCTGGACAGGGCTTGGGATAGAGGAAGGTGTCCCTGCCATGGCAGGGGGTGGAATGAGATGATCCTTAAGGTTCCTTCCAGCCCAGACAGGTCTGGGCACCCATGATTTCACACTTTTACTCACTGGAGCTAGGACCTACCAGCCTTAGGTCTATTACATCCTGAAGCATGAACCGAATCCTTGAGGAGGTTTTCCTCTCTTTCACAATCTTCTCCATCTGATTAAAATACTGGTCCATGCGGGGCTAGACAAGAAAAACATCATCAGAACATTGTGGAGAAAAATGAAAACTCCCTGGAGCTCCCTGGAGGGGCACCCAGTGGGTCCTGCATTCTGGGATTTCTGTGCTAGAAACATCAGGGACACAGGGCTGCTCCCCAGAGAGGTGAGTGCTGGGTCTTGTACACTCCTCCAGGATGGATTTGAGGGTGCACAGGGCAGCATGTACAGGAGATGAGGCATAACTGTGCAGGCACACACTTCCTCTGCGTTTTTAATTACACAAACCATCTACACCCTCTGCATGTACAGAATAAACATTACATTCATTAAAAATATATCTCAATCTGAGCTTCCCCCCCTCAAATCAGCTGTGTGCTCACCTCAGCCCAAGAAAAACTGGCTCAGGAAACAAAATGGGTACAAAACCAGCCTCAGACACATCATTCCATGGTTTATCCCCTGAGCTGAGCCAGGCCAGACTGAGCAGTAGCTCTGGGTCTTTCTCCAAGAACAGTTTAATGGGCTCAGCTGTGGGAAAAAGACCCAAACTCCTCATCCAGAAAATTGTGATCTCAATAGGTTCACACCAAGACATGAATTGGGATCAGCAGACAAGCTCTTGTTAGGTCTTAATTTGGCTCAACAAGCTCTAAAAAGCCTTCTTCTCAAATTAGGGCCTCTGGTTGTTTCAAACAAGAGTTTCAGAGCAGTTTTCTACCATGTTTCCCACTCTCTTCACTAAAAACCAGCTAAATCCTTTTCCTTGTAGTTAAACAAACAAGAAAAAAATCCATTAAAATTTGTGTTTGGCCTTGCCTTGGAAAGTTCCAGCTCTGGGAGCAAGTGTTTCCAAAGTTAGGAATGATGGGGAAGTATTTCCAATAGACTTTGTTTAAAAGTTTTAATTAAATTATGACTAACAGTTCAGCTTCAATAAAAACACATAATAAAATGTCTCCCCCATTAAGAAGGATTCTCTCAGTCTTGACAGAAATAACCAATCCCAAAAACAGGACAGATGTATCTGGAGTTGCTCCTTAGCTCCGTGCCCTGCCGTGCCCCAGCCCGAGGGTTCAGAACCAGCAAAGCACCAAAATGTTGACTTTTAGAGTGCTCCAAAAAACCAAAACAGCATCCAGGCCTCGTCCAGCCTGACCTCAGCCTGGAAGTCAGACCTAGTTTTCCTCCCAAAGCACACGGAGAAACTGATGGAGAATGGTGCTGCGCCCACAGCACGGGACGTTTGCCTGTTTGCTGATAAACCACGCTGTTTTGGTCAATGCTCACGGAACAGCCTGGGAAATTCCTTCCCCCTAAGGCTCAGGACTGATCTGCCCTGATCCCTGAGATCCCTGAGTGGAGAGGGAACTCCCTGCCCGGGGCAGCTCAACACAATTAGCTCCGTTTGTTTCCAGAGCCCAGCCCCACTGATTCCTGGCAAAACCCCGGAGCTGTTCATCCCAAGGCTGGTTTTTGTGAAGGAGCAGCAGGCTGTCTGTGCCAAGGGAAGCTCTTGGACTGCACAATGCTCTGTGCTACAGATATATTTGCTGGAAAAGGGGAGGAGAGTGCAGGAGCACATCCCAGCACATCTGGGGACAAGGACGACACAAAACACAGAAACCCCCGAGGCTCAAGTGGGGGCTTGGACTGGTTAATGAGGGTGTTGCAGATTTAACCTGAGCAACACATTTCATGGTGACTTCTGTAGGTAACACAAACCTTCAACTGGAAATAATAATGTTTTGGGAGCTACAAAGGAAGAGGAACATTCAGCTTGGGAAAAGGAAACATTGAGCTTTTTTGGACTGTGTGTTTGGATAAAATCTTTGGAAATAACAACTGGATAGCACAGCTGAAAATGATACAGAATCTATTACAGAGCAGGGAGCAAGGCCAGGTCATGATGAAACATCCACAGAGGAGCGGATGATTTCCTCATGCCATATGGAAATTCCTGAAGAAAAAACAAATCTTCAAATAAAAACCACCCCACACCCATTTTTCCAGCTCTGCCCAGAGAACCTCATCCCTCGCTCCCATTCCTGCCCCACCTTTGCCTTCTCAAAGTCCAGGTCCTTGCCAATGGTCGTGAGCAGGCGGCAAAGGCACTCGAGGGACTCCTCGTCGTGGTTTTTCAGCAGCTTCACCACGCAGTCGTGCATGATGGCCTCCGTCAGCATCTTCAGCTTGAAAAGCTCGCCGATGAATTTGATGTTCCCGATGGATCGCCGCCGGGCTTTGTCCTTGGCCTCCTCCAGCTCGTCGTGGAGCCGTGTCTTCTCCTCTGGCTGTAAAACAGGAAAACAGCTCTGCAAAACCACGTTCCCAGTGCACAGAACTCTTGGAAAGATCCAGTTTTATCTTCGTAGACACTGTTCCCTCTTTTTCTCCTAAAGCCCAGAAAGATGTTGGGATAAACCCACCGTCAAGGCAAGTATTTTTTATTCTTCTCAGGCACAGTGACAGAATGAAAGTCTCAACTCCAAAATTCCCCAAAATCAACTGCTGTTTCAAAAGGAAATAATTTTCTGAGGGAGCTCTGAGAACTTATGGAGAAAAACACCACTTACAGTGGTAGCAGCTTCGAGTTCTTTCTGCTTCTTTTCAAAGACATCATCGTCAGCCTTGTCCTTTTCAAATTCCTTCTGGCAGCGATTTAACAGCAACTTACGAAAATTTACTGTGCTCCCAGGTTTGTCTGCCATGGGCACTTTCAGCTGGAGTGAGAAGGAAGAAAAACATCAGCAGAAATAGGGATAAACTCCACAGAGGAGGGGTCATCCATAACAATTTATTTTGCTCTTCATGTTGAGCTGCGTAGCTCCGCAAGGCTGCGGAAGTAAAGCCTTACATCAGGATTTCCAGGGGAGTTTTACATTGTGCATGTAAAGTCACACTCCAAACTTGGCTGACACCACCTCCACCCGGGGATGAATTACATTTCCATCCATATTCTCCCTTAAAAACACCCCGTGCTTGAAAACACTCCTGTTCTGTGCTGAAGGCTTAAGTCCTATTCCTTCACTGCATGTCATGAAGGACCTGGGGAAAAGAGGGCTCTTTTGTCCCAAATTCACCACCTGAGAATGATCTGTGCAAAGCCTGGCTCATCCTGGGCTCCCTTGGAACTGAAGGACACAGAAGGGTGGGGAGGCCCTGGCACAGGTTGCCCAGAGCAACTGTGGTTGCCCACCCCAGAAGTGTCCAAGGCCAGGCTGGAGGGGGCTTGGAGCAACCTGGGATAGTGGAAGTTGCTCCTGCCCATGGCAGAGGGTGGACTGAGAAGGGCTTTAAGCTCCCTTTCCTGCCTGTACTATTCCATGCTTCTGTGATTCCATGAACTTCCCAAATACGACTCATCTTGCAAACCAGGTGGAGGCAAGGAGTCCTCAACTCCCAACAACTGCTCCAAACAAATCCCTCTGCCTTGGGCATGGCCAACAAACCAAGACTCCACATTAATTATTCCTACTTACACTCAGAAGCTGCCATTTAACTCTGCTCTCTGCAGTTTCTGTCGCTGCCCCTGAGCCCAGAGGAGCTCCCGGGCGGCTCTTACCGTCACCAGGCAGCGGCACATGTTGGCGTAGGCCACGGAGAAGCTGGGCTCGTCGATGGCCTTCTCAAAGACCAGGTCGATGACTCCCTTCAGCCTCTCCTCTGTGTCCACTGTCAGGTCTGTCACCTGCTTCATCAGCTGGTTGAACATCTGGGGCGTCAGCTTGTTCAAGATGCTCCGTACCTTGCGGAACAGCTCCTGAGGGACAGAAACACTGCGAGCTCAGGCACAAGTGGTGCACGTGGATTTCAGGAATGAGCCAGGATGCTCTCCACAGGGGAATGGAGATATCCTGTAGGAATGTCTGGAAGCTGAGTTACACACCACACGCTTCTGCACAGCCCAACCCCAGTCCTCACTTGGTCACCAAAGACCAAGACTGCAGGGCAGGAGTTTTGGAAAACACCCCCAAGTGCTTTTGTCAAGTGCAACAAAGCCCTTCCTGTCAGAAATACTCTTCTTTATATCAGTTTAATCCATGAGCTGTATATTAACAGGGAGTGGCCACTGTCTCCTTCAGCCAGAGATAATCAAACTTTCCTATAATTCACTTTAAGGTACTTTATTTTTTCCTATCCAGGATGATAATGAGGTCAACAATGCCACCATTAGCTCCAAGAACAGAATTCCAGTATCCTTCAACACCATCCCAACTTATCTTACAAATTACAAACTTGACCACGAGACAAACATCTCCTCCCACAGCGAGTGCCCCATGGAGGAGAGGAGGGGGAGAAGGACAGAGGCAGCTTCAGATGGCACCGCTGGGCTGGGCAGGACCAACTGAGGGATTTTACAGAGGAACCTCAGTCTTGCTGAGGATTCAGGGAAGAAACGTAGTCTAAAAGGAGATGAAAACCAAGTTCTGTGCTGGGAATGTAGGGCTCTTTGCTTTACAACAGAGACAGAAATATTCCAGTAAAACAGCAGTAGGAAAGCAACCCTGGAAGAGAGACAGGAGGTTGTCTGGTGTTCTCTGCTTAATATGCAGGACTGGCATTTAAACACCAGGTCAAGAATAAACATACAGAAAATACCATCAAGGAAGGGGAATTCCAACTGGAATTCATTGCCCTTTTTCACTGTCTGATATAAGAGGGAAGCCAAATACCATTACCTGGGGCAGCTGCTGCACCCTCAAACCTGCTTTTGCTCTCACCTGGGTTTTGACATTTTCTGGGTCCTCAGTTTGGTTTTCCCTCTTCAGGCTTGGTTTCCAGGCGTTCTCTGCCTTCTTCAGGTGCACATCCTCCTTCACACACACAGTGATGATCTTCCTGGGCTCCCTCCTCTGGCCTGGCTGAGATCTCCTCGGTCCAACATTCAACAACTAGGACAAAAACATTCCTTGTTATATCCCACTTTAAGCTCACGCTGGATAACACATCCAGGGCAAACGCCAACAGCCGCTGGTGGCACTGCTGGCCACCAGCACGTCCTGCTGGGGCACCAGGAGTCCTCCTGACCCTGGGCTGCTCACAGGAACCTGCAGACACCCAACACATTTCTCTGGGCAGCTTTTCCCAACAGAGAGATGGGATGACTCTGCCTACACAACTTGGTGACGCTGCGAGTGCTGCTACAGGGGGCAGAACTGACCCCGACTGGCCAAAAGTGCCTCTTGGGAGTCAGAAACTGCGTAACTGAGACACCACAGCAAGGTGGGGAAGAATTCAGCCCTTACAGGTGTATTTCAAACACACCATCCCAAGCACTTAGACAATGATAAATTGGCAGCTTTGCCAGAAATGTTAAGTTTTACTGGAAATTGCTTCCAACAAAGCAATTTTGAGATGGGAATTACATAAAACACAGTGAAGGAGTATCACTGCAGCTTCTGCACTCTAAAAATATGGATCCTAACAGAAATGGGACAAACTCTGTGTGGTTTCATGGAAAAAAAAGGGAATTGGGATGCTTTGGAACTGCCTAAGCACCTCTGCAATCCTGTGTAATGTGATGTTCCTAAACAGGCACAAAACCTGCCAAAGCTGGGGAGTTTTTCACCAGGTGTACAAGTGGTGGGACACAGGACACCCCCAAACCTCCTCTTCCTCATCTGGGGGGCTCTGATTAAAGACTAAAGGTACCAGGTACTGTTGGGAGGTTGCTCTTCCCCCATGCTCTTTCACATTTCTGAACTCATTTATCACAAATGGCCAACCTCAAGGTACAAATTAAAGCAGCAAAACTCCATTATCAAACCTGGTACTTCCCACAGCAGTAATTAATCTGCTCAGCAGCCACTCATGGAAGATGGGCCATTTCAAAGACTGCTTTGTTCAACAAAGGGATTGAATGAGCATCAAAAAGGCCGGTGCAGTTACTTGAAGAGCTTCAATGAGTAGGAGGAAAGGGCTCTTGGCTGGTGCCTCTTATGTCATACATCAGCCACAAACCTGGATTTGTGGTTGTTGAAAGGCAAATTTCTTCTTAAAGGCAGGAGGGAGTTGAACCACTTGCCTTTGACAAGGTAAATGTGTGCAAATGAGCAGGATCACCAGCAGTGCTGGGGCTCCTGTCTGGGGTAACAGCAAGAGAGGGAGATGTTGTCAGAAGACAATGACCTCATGCTGTGACCTGCTCTGTGTGCCCAGGGAGAGGGCTCAGAGGAGCAGGGTGTCACTGAGCTCCCCTCAATTTACAGAGACCCCTGTTCACATCCCCTGCCACGCACAGAAATAGCCCAGCAGATTATTCAAACTGCACAGGGCACAAGCCCCATGAATGCTTTAATTCACCGAATCATTTATCTTGGAAAAGATCTCCAAGATCATCAAGTCCAACCTCTTGTAGCGCAACTGCACCAGCTGATCACTCCTGAGGAGTCAACAGTGGAACAGGGAGCCTTCAGGAAGTTTTTGTGTCAGACACCTTCCTAAAGCAGACACTGATCTCTCCCTGTGTCCCCTCTCTGCTCCCACCCTGAGCCCTGGCTGACACTGGTCTGGCTCAGCAAGGCCTGACAGCAGCCCTGCCTTCACACATCACCTCTGGTGTTGCACAGTTCTGCAGCCCAGGCTCTGACCACGCTGCAAAGGTGCAGAGAAGAGACTTCCCTCCACCAGACAATGATGTCAGAGAAAACTGACTGGCCACAGCCACGTGTGCCACAGCTCAGCACACACCTCCTGCCTGTGGACAGCTCTGTCATGGGAGCCAGGCTGGAGCGTGCCCTGAAAACCCAAACCTTTGAGCTCATTCCCCCCAGAACAGGGCAAAGCCAAGGAGAGGTGACCTGCAGCCATCCCACCTCCTGCACAGAGGCAGCTCTGGTCTGAAGGACCTCCCAGCCAGCCAGGCTGTAACGCGTGGGACGGAGTCGGCACTTCCTCGGGCACGGGTCCATGCAAATGTTCCTTTTCAGCAAACACCCACCCCTGAGGGAGGTGACTCCCTTGGAAAACTGAGGGATGCATGGAACACCAGAGTGTCACCTGTCACCTCCTCGCATCTGGCTGCCTTTGAGCCCAGACCTTTCAAGCATCAACACAGTAAAGACTTTCTTTGAGACTGTATGTTTTTAATATCTGTGAATAAAATCAGTTCAAACTGTGTGATTAGGTTTTCAGTCAGTGAACAGAAGCATCCTTTGAAGATGTAATAACATAATAGATGGATCTAATTTTTAAGAGAAATTGTCTAGGGGTCTGGGGTTTTTGGCTCCAGATTTATACAGCAAATTAAAGAGGTGCCTGAGCTCAGGCCTGGCTTCCTGTAAACACTAATGGTTCTGGAGCATGGGACAAGCACCAGGTGTTCCTGCATTAATCTGAGTGACCTCTTTCCCAGAGGAAGATACGAAAGGAAAGCAGGAAGACACAGGTACAAGACTCCTGCAGGGGAGCCAAAGACCCACAGCAGCATGGAGTGGCCTGGTGCTCCCACTCAGGCCACAGGCCATGGAAATACTTTAGAAACCATCCAAGGAATTAAGGAAGTGCTTCTTCCTCTATAAGAGGCTTTGAATGCAGACAGTGAAATTGATCCTCGATGGTGGGAGGGGTTGAGGTGATTTCAGTTTCCACCACCTCTCAGGAAGGACAAAGCAAACGCAGCCCGTGCAGGGACGGACCCATCTGCTCCAGCCCCACGTCTCTGAGCTTGCATCTCCTCAGCTGGCACGCTCACCTAACCCTGCCTACACCAAAGAACCTTCCCAGCTGCATTCTGCTCCTGTGCAGCTCCACCCCGCTGCCGTCCGGCGCAACTTTGGTTAGTGGCAGAGACAGTCATAAAACACGTTCAAGCAAAAAGTGGGAAACAAAGACAGAAGCCAAAGAAGCAAAACAAAAGACTCTCCACGTGCCGGAAGCGGTTAGCGCTGAGCTGCTCGATGTTATTTGGGGCAAGGAAGAGGCAGTGGTTTGATGGTTCATGGCATGGCCTGTGCAGAGGTGGGATGGCTGGGGACAGGCAGCGCACACGCAGGGGTGGCCATGCGTCACGAGAGGGGAACGTCTGCCACTGCTGGGGCTCAGAACCCTCTGATCCTACAACCGCCGGCGTCGAGGACAGGCTGGTTAAACCACGTCACCTTCCAGCCCTCCTCCAGAACAAGGCAAGGAGAGGCTCTGCTCTGCAAAGGTGCAAATGTAAGATGTATGTTACGTGCTGAATGCTCCAAATGAACGGGGTAAGCGGGACTTACCTTTTCTCCCCCTTTCCACAGGTCTGCAAAGTGCAGACCCTCGCGGATCCCGCTCGGGCCAACGTGCCAGCATGCCCTCAGCTGGTGATGTCCCACCCACCACTGAAGACTGCCTAGAGGGGTACAACGCAAGTCTTGTTTCGGTTTTTTTTTAAACAAGGTTGCACCTTTTTGTAAAGTTTTCTGCCAGTCGTTCTTTATCAACAGCGGGTGGTGGGGAAAAAAAGGCAACTCTACAAAAAGGTGCAAAGTCTGGAGGGAGAGGGGGGGATTTGGCTTACCCCTATTGGCAGGTTCCTCAATGGTGGGTGAGGCGAGACCAAGAGAGGGCATGCTGGGGGCCCACACCGAGCCAGGGAGGGCAATCCAGGGGTGCTCTGCACTTTGCAGGCCTGTGGAGAGACAAAGAGCGACAGCCGCGTTACCCGGGCGCCGCAGGGCTCGGGACACAGCACTGACAGGAGAGGAGGCGCCGCAGCACAGCCAGCATGGGAAGCACTGGCGATCTCACGAGGTTCTGTGGACCAGGTGGTGCTCCAAGAGAAACTGTGGCACCGAAGCAACTCCAAGACACAGACGTGCAGCCCGGAACTGAGGCACCGGCCATGAGGATGATCCCAAACCAAAAATATTACATTGACCCAAAATCTTTGGGTACGACTCCTGGAAAGCTGTGCATTTGAAGTTGGGGTGATTCAAGGAACTCTTCTGGAACCAGCAGATTTGAAAGCTCCACGATGGCTGTGTTGTTAGACACATCCAGATGGACACAGCAGAAGCAGCTCAATAGCTGAAAATCAGTGATTGTCCCTAATGATGTCCTCCTCCAGTGGCACTGACGGGGTAGCACGTGCTGGGGGCACCCATGCCCCAGGAAAAGACATGGCAGAGGCAGGAGTGAAGAGCTCACAGGGGGATTTCGGAGTGTGGGCAAAGCCAGACACAGGGAGAAGAAGGGAAAATGAAAGAAAAGCAGCAGAAAAGGTGGGAAAACAAGGAATAAAGTGACCAAAGCAACATGTGGAAGCACAGAGAACGCAGGAACACACAGGTGCTGGCTGTATTTTGTTTGTTAGTAAAATCTCTTTGCTCTGTGGGTGTGTTTTGCAGCACAGCCCCCAGGCTGACGCACTGACGCCGGGTTTGTTGTACGACGAACGCGCGACCGCACACGCGACTGCCGGGTCCTGGTGTGGAAACGCTTCCACCTCTCCCACAGGGAAACAGGAAGGAGACAAACCCTTCCCAAACAACAGCTACCCATGACAAACATCCACAACTGTTTCCAATTCCCCTACATCTTGTCAGCAAAGCAAACATCACCCCCGCAGTCATGCTGACAAAACCAGAACCACCGGCGCATTGGAAGAGGCCCACCGGCCTGAGGAAGGACTTCATCGGTGTTAATACCAGTTTTTAAATGAGCAAGTTGGGGTAAACTCACACTTCCAGACACGTTTCTTCCCCCGGGGGCTTGCCTCCCAAAATCAGCAAAGGCTGGTGTGAAGTCGGGGCCTCGTGGCAGGATCCGGGGGTCCAGAGTCCTCAGCGGCAATTTGGGCGGGTTGATCTGTGCCGTGAGCAGAGCACACAAACAGGGGCTGCTCAGGGGTCATGCAATCTACAGACAGCATCTGCTACACCATCACAGTCATATTTAACAGCCAAATTAAAGCTTTTAACAAACTACTCAAGTTTTAGGCAGCCACACTTATGCTAAAAATAAACATTTAATTTAAAACACATCTTCAGGAGACTATTGAGGAAACAGGAAGAGCTCAGAAACATTTCAAGGATTATGGAGTTGGCAACACGAGAGATGGGCAACTGAGCCCAGGAAGCTCAAACACAGAACGGTGAGAAACAATCATGGGAAAATAGAAGGTAGATGAAATAATTTTGGCAATAAAGCTGTGTTTTACAGTTTGCCTGGGTATGAAACTCAGAGCGGAAATGTTTCTGCACACGAGGATCACCCACATCCCTGAGTCTCATGAGTGAGGCTGTTGTGGCTCCATCAAAGTCAAGGAACTCTCCAGCTCTCAGTGAGAGCAGAACGAGGCCTTGGTGTCAGCACTCAGAAATCCCAAGTGTTTCACTAAGCCCAGACCTCCAGCAGAAACAATCAGCTCTGAGATGAGGCTGGAGAGAAATCCCAAAACTGCCTGAGAATGGAGCTCTTAAGGATCTTTTATTAGATCAGCTTATAAATAGTGAAGAAATTGCTTCAGGTCAAAAAAACAGTTTGCCCAAAAGCTTCTCTCTGCTTTTTAATTGATCTAATAGATCAATTAATTGATCTAATAGAAGCCACTGTCTCTCCATCCAGCCTTGCTTGGATCTTCAGCTCTTCACGGCTGGGTAATTTTAAATTTTAATAACATCCTGGTATAACTTAATCTAGATAAAGACTATCAAAAACGCTTCAGTTTTTAATCATCTGTGCACATTCATCAGGCACCAACACCTCTATTTGTAGAATTTTGTGATGAGACCAACTATTCCCACTTCCCACTAAAACCTGGCATGGAAATGGCTCAGGAATGAGGCATTATGGATCTTTATTTATATCAAAACCCTGCACATACCTGTTTTATGGGCTCTCCTCTCACCTTGTCGAGCACCACGTCGCTGATGGGAGGCAGCCCCTCGGGCTTCTGGATACAGGCAGGCATGAACTGGATATCCAGCAGGAATTCCCTGTCGTATTGCTTCTTCCCCTCAGGGTCCAGGGGCTTCCACTGCTCTATAGGGAGAGAAGTCCCTGAGAGTCACAGGAAACAAACCCCTGCTCACCCAGATGTGGGTCTGGTAAATCCAAAGGGATGAAGCTGCTGCACCAGACTGGGACATTTCAATTTAATTTGATTTTCGTTTTGAAGGGAGAGAGGAGGGCAACACACCCAACATTAAAAGGATATGAATAACAGAGAGTGTAGAGCCAGGTCCCACCACACCTGGATCTGGTCACTAATTCCAGTTCTAACCCATGTATCTAACTTTGACTTTGCTCTCCTGTGGGATATGGCAGAATGAGAACAATTCCCTGGTTCTGTGTGAAAATAAGGAAGTTAAAGGGGTTTGTCTGGTGTAAAAGGAAGCCAGAAACATGAAGTCAAGGAGAGCAGAGCATGGGACAAAAACACCCTCTGAAAATGTGAAACCATGGAACTGTGAACAACCCATGCTGGAGATAACAGGCAGAAACGAGAAGCCACAACCACAGGCCATGATCTGGGAATTACAACTTTCCATCTATTTTACATGGGGCTTTTTGGGTGTGGAGGACTCTGCCTGGGGCAAATGAAAGCATAAACATACAGCCACTTTAGCACAAGGGAAGTCAGCCTCTGGTGGCCTGGAGATGGGACTTTTGGCACTGGCCACACAGTTTGTTTGAAATTAGGGAAGAAAACACGTTTTATCTGAAGGAAAACATCTGTATGAGATGCTGCCTTTGGATCTCCCTCATACCAGACTGCATTATTTAGCATTCATAATCCCTTCAGGTATTTATTTCACTCCCTGACCCCTGGCTTTGGATCTCTGGGATCTCACCATCTGCACCCCTGCAGAGGCCACGAGCAGGGACTTACTCCAACGATGGGTTTTAATAACTGGGAATGAAAATACACAGAAGTGATTGTGAATTTTAGCTTTTTATGTAGTTTTGTTTCTACAGAGCTTTAGGATACAGGGGTGCAGAAATGGTTTGGCTGGATCCTGGCTGGAATTCCTGGCCTGTACCTGTCATTTACCGTGGAAAAGCTCCAACACAACAACAAGCAGTTTATGTATAGTTTCCTTCTCCTGGAAAACTCTCAATGAGCTGTTTTAATGTGAGGAGCAGCCAGGCAGCATTACAAGAAGGATCCCCAATGCAGGGAGAGACAGGGATCAAATACAGAATTCCTCCAGAGGCAGAAATTCCCCTTTCTCAGAAGAGCAGAGCCGAAATCAAGGACTGTTGCACAAGTCTGATGTATGTTGCTTTCCCAGAGATCCATCCAAACCTTCCAGCTGAGTGAAAGGACATCTGGACACAACTGGGATTGTTCTGACTGCATCAGCTGATGAATTATGGATTAACTTCAGGAAGTGCTTGGCTAGTGAACTGCTCAGGTACCCTCAGTGTGATGAGCTATCAAGAGGCCTCTGTGTTTTCCCCTCACAATATGATTGTGCTGAATTAATAAAACCAAAGCAATTGAGGTCTTTGTCAGAACCAAGTGGTGCACAAATAACCACTGCAGTGAAGTCCCTTAATGGTGGTGCTCCTTGCCCATCAGGTTCTCCAGGTCCCTCCTTACTATTATTATACTCTTTAATTTCTGGGCTCTCAAAAAATGTCTACTTTATGTGAAGCATTTGAATAAGAAATTGCTTAAAAACTGGGAGCAACTGAGAAGCTGGTCTCAAGTTCTCTCTAAATGAGGTGGATTAAACTGAGGTTTAGGTCCATAAATTACAAAATCTTCATAAATAATAAAAAGGTTGCGTCTTGATAAATAACAAAAACACTCTATAGATATCCGATACCCTAATCAATGGGGCTGAGCTGGGCAGTGCCTGGATTGAAAACCACAAACTGTTTCTCTTCCTTACTTTTCTACAAATCCAAACATCCATGCAACTGTTTAGCCAGGAAATTAAATCTTTATGAACACGCATATTTGTATTTAGGACCCAATGAACACTTTCATTTCTTATTTAACCACCTCTTATTTCAGAAGTATTTTGGTTTATGTGGAATTTCTTGGATAATTTCCAGCTGTGGATCACACAGGAATCAACTCTCATTTCCACTGTGCTGTAGCCAGCATCCAAATACACAAAAATTTCAAGAAGTTAGGGATTTTCTCTTCTCTTGACCACGACCAGCAAGACAAAAACCATTTCCCCCTTTCGCCGCCCTGGAAGATCTCTCGGGACCTGCTGGGTTGCAAATCTCGGCGGATCTAAATCCCCTTCCAGCCCCAGTGGGAACTCCTGTAGGGATGGCACTCGGGGTGCTGGCCAGGAGGGAGGCAGAGGAGCAGGTGGAGCAGGACCTACCTGGTTTGTACTGGTACCCGGGCCCCTCTCCGGGGCTCTCCGTGCAGCCGCAGGCGGCGTCGGTGCCCTCGCCCTCCGAGACGCTCTCGGCGCCGTTCCGCACCGGCTCTGCCTCCTGCTCCCCGTTCTCCTCCACGCCTTTCACTGCTTTGAGCTCTGAGGGTTCCCTCTCTGCTTGAAGCCCATGGCTCATTTTCTCCTGGTCGGATTCAAGTACTTTGTCCCCTGAAGTTTCCTCCTCCTCCTCCTCCTTCGGCTGGAGCACCGAGAGAAGCAGAGGTTTCGTTAGAAACACCTCGACAAATTCAGTGCACGTGAAACGGCTCTTCATGGATTCACACTGCATTTTTGGGAGCAGCAGGAATACTAATGCATCTTACACAGGGATATGGAACACCACACTGAGCCACTGGGTGATTTATCAGCTCATTCCCATGGATAACCCACCGATAATGAAGGGTGCAACTGGAAAGACTCAGCATTGCCCATGAAATCCCCATGGGATTGGATGGAGGGAACTGTTAAGCCATGACCAACCCCAGCCTAGAAACACAACTCTGCTTTCCTTTTCTCCTACCGTCCATGACAAAGGGATGGTAAAGGGCACATGGTGCTTATTTTGGGGGATTCTTCCTTTCAATGCCTGCTGCCAACTGGAGCAGATGCCACTAAGGAAGGCAGTGTGAGATCCAGCCACAATTCCAGTATCTCAGTTTCAGGAAAAAGCATTAATAGTATCCCTGGCTGTTAATTTTAGAGCTCTCCAAGGACACAGCCTGATTGTGCATTCAGACGAGGAGGCGTCGGAATGTGCTTCTCCCGGGAGAAATCCCAGCCCCTCTCAGCACTGAACAAAGGAAAAACTTCACTGAGGATGCTCCAGAGGAAACTCCCAAACGTTTGCCTCCCTACCTGACAGCACCACATCCTGAAATACTTCTTGCAGAGTTTTCAAGGGAATTCTCTGAAGAATTCCCCAGTGGAACTGCTGGGTGGTGCAGGAGACACGACTCCTCCAGAGGAGGATGAACCTCCTGGTGCAGCCCCTTTGCTCTCCTGCTCTGCACCACATCTGACCAACCTCAGCTTTTATCCACAGTTTTACTCTCTTGCTTCCTTTCTGATCGATTCTAACCTCATACTGACCCAGGATATTAAGCACAGGCCCCTGCTGCAATATCCCTACTAGAATAGCAGTGAGGGAGGTTTTCTTTACTCATCTAATCACTCTTGATGTGGTTTTGCCTGAAAACTTCAGCATTTTCCTTTGTCAGCTTCTCCATCACTTGGTCATCAGAAAAACTATCCTTGGCCATGATATCCCTGCACAGAATAACCTGCCAAATGTCAGGATGGTGGCCTGAAACCAAAATGGGGCAGAGCTCAGGGATCCAAACCCACTTTTCCCTCACCCTTCACTGAAAGGGGTTCTTCAGTGCTGGGAGGCTGGTGGAAATTTAGTGGAATCTTCTAGAGGAAGGTGCTCCTTGCTGTGGCAGGGGTTGGAATGAGATGAGTCTTTAAGAGCCCCTCCAACCCAAACCAGCCTGTGATTCTATGACTGTATCAGTCATTACATTAGGCAAACCCAAAGAAAACTGAAGAGCTTTAAAAGGAAGAAGACTGACACCTGTTATCTAAAGGATGCTGAGGAACAGCAGAGCTCCTCCCCAGAACTGCCCTGTGAGACAACGAGGAAGCAACGTCTCTAAAGTACAATTTCAAGAGAGGAACACCATCTTTAAATTTGGGTAAAGCAGGACATTGGTTCCCTCTCACCTCTGTTTCTGCCTCTGTCTCCTCCTCAGTGGCTTGGGTCCGGTCTTTTGGTTTCTTCCAGGTCTTTGGTGCAGTTACAGCGGTTTGGGCTGCAAGGTAAACGTGCATCTGTTACAACCCTGAGTGACACGGAGCTGATGGGGCTGTGAGTGATGAGCTTCCCTCTCAGGGGCTGGTCTGAGGCACAGGACAACGAAGCAGCTCAGCCTTGTGGAGGATTCAGCTTGATTCAACCACTTCGGCCTTCAATGCAGCAGTAACAATCATCAGAATGACATGAAAACACAAGAATTGTTTTACAAGTTGCTCATTCAAGCTCCAAATTGCACTTGGGGTAGCAAGGAGGTCACTGCCAACAGCACAAGGATCATGCAGGGGAAAAAACCTTCAGGAAGTCAAGTTTTTAGAAGGATCAGCTGCTGGCTGGGAGAGAAGGTTGTTCTCAACATATTTTTCTCAAGAATTACCACTGTTATAATATTAACCATAAGCAAGCCCATATTTACAGTATCTCATCCAAAAGGAAAACTCCTTCAATCCTGCAGCACTGCCCTGAGCTGGATTTATATTTCAATTTAAAAGCAGGTTCATAACTCCAGCATTAATGATCTCCCTGGCCAACTGAGTCAAAGGAAACACCACAGAGTATTCCCAAGATCAGCACTGATTTACTCCAATCGTGTTTTCCCTCTAAAGAGTAGAAGAAACCACACAATATATTAAGAGGAGACAAACCCATTAATCCAATCTGCTCCTAATTTGTGGCAAATGCTCCCAGCTTAAATTCGGATCCCAGGCACACATGCTCAGTTAACAGAGTGTAAATGGGATTGATTTTGTGACTGAAGATTACTGCAAACAGATTTCCAGCTCTGGCCTTTGGTTTCCAGCAGACACTGTGGAAAAACCCAGTGTGTACTTCCTTTATCACAATAAAACAGAATTTTGAAAGGTTCTTCACTATGGATAAATAAAAAGAGTTAGTAACAGCCAACTCTGTTCCTAAGGGCATGGAGCAAATGGGATTTGCTGCATTCCCACTGCCCCAGAGAATACATACGAGCTTCTGTGGCTTCTCCAGAGTGTTTCTCTGTTTGGAGGGTGACCATGGACCTGCAGCCACTCTGCAGATTCCTGTGGGAATCACCACATCCAGGCCCCAGCCCAAAGAGCAACAGGAGCTACTGGTGCTGATGGAAGACTTTTACCCTGAGGCTGAACACCCCAATTAGAAAAGGAAAGTCTTATTTAAATATTCAAACATCATCTCTGTATTCACAGAACAAATGGCTGGAAAACTCACCCAGATCTCCCAAGCTCCAGGTCCAGCCCATCCCACCCATTGCATCTCCCTATGGAGAGGCTTTAAGGGCAGGGCAGAGCCCAAATCCCAAATTTCCTGGGACTCAAAGGAGGGGAGTCCAGGCAGGCCCAGACTGCAACACAGCTTTGTCTCCCCCAGCTGGGATCAGCCTTTACTGCTGCTCCTGGCAGCTCCCTTGGCAAGAACAGCCCAGTTATTCCGTGTCCAGGGGCAAAACCAGGGCTGGGGATGAGCAGTGTCCATGCACGTGGTAATTTCTGGAATTCAGCAAAGCACAGATCTAAGACAGGCTTCCATCACAAAATCTGCTAAAAACTCAGTGAAAAGTGAGCCCTTTTCAAAGGGCTGCTTTCAGTCTTCTTTGATGATGCCACTTGTGCACTTCCAGGGGTTTCTCCAAGAATGAATTAGGCCTGCAAAGCAACAACCTCAATTTTGCCACAGCCAAATATTTTAACTGATCAGTCCCAAACTTCTTAATCAGAATTTCACTGCCCTCAAACTCAAACCATGGAAACCATCTACAGCATAAAATAACATTTCATTTTTAACTGCACAGAAATAAATTCAGGGGTCATGGATTTGGGGCTGGCAAAGGTCCGGGTATTTCCTTCCTCAGCTGTCAGGATGTGAACATTACTGCTGCTCAAGTATACATTTTTCCACCTTTTTTTGGCAAAAGTAAGCTCTGTAGAGGCTGCAATCCTGCCAAGCCTCCCGAATGAGTCTTGCTTTAAATCCCACAACTTCCATCAGCCTGGGGGTTCCAACCCCTGGCCGTGTTGTGGAGCTGCCCAAGGTGGATCTCCAGAGATCTCTGGAGACATTGCTCAATCTTCCCCACTCTTAAAATAGCAGACACCAGATTCCTTTTTTTCTGTCAAGTTCACATTTCTGCTGCAGGAGCTCAAAGGAGAATTTGCACTGATGGGAGTTTGGGTTCCCAAACCCCAAATCCAACAGGACAATGGTGTTATCATCTGAAGATGGAGTTTCATCTGTGAGGCTGTAGGGAAATACAAAGTAATGTGTCCAGTTTGGCTCTTGGAGAGGGACAACTCCAGACACTTCTGGTCTTCTTTTCCATTTTCTTGTCCCCAGTTTGAGCAACTTCATGTCCTCTCCAACAGCTTAAGTCCTGCCCAAATGCAGATTCATTTTTGCCACTATTCACACTTCCAGACCTTGCTTTCAGCTCATGTAATTCCTTTGGAAAAGGGACACCGGAAACCCAACCAACACTCTGAGCTCTTATCACAGCTTCCAAAGGCGAGGGAGATAACAGGAGGGATAAGAGATTTACTTTAGGACTGGAAAGAGGAACAAACCCTTAATTCCAGACTGCACCACTGCCAGTGCTAACCCCACCCCTGCAGGGATCTGCTCAGCAGGCCCAAAGCTCCCTCACCCCTTTCTCCAGCTGTGTCACGTTCCCAGTGGAATATCTTCCCACAGGATTTACCCACCCGCGAGCTCACGGCCCGTCCAGCGGGACACGAGGCCTCTCCTCTCTGATGTGGTGCCAACTGTGAAGCCTAAATTAATACCAGCTCTTACATTTTTATTTTATTATCCAACATGCCATGAAAGACCAAAGCAAAGATTCACCATTGCCTTCCAGCTTATGGAAAAGAAAATATATTCCAGTGGTTATGGCAGCAAATCAAGAAAAAGGCGACACCTGATTTATGTTTCTGCCTCTCCAGGTTTTGGTGCTGGAGAAATGTCTCCAAGGTATTTCCAATTACAGCCCAAGTTGCTCGTTACAGCCTCCTCAGCTCAGAAACTCCAGGACTTGCCACAGCTGGGCTATTTAATACAGAAATATGTCTCATAAACGAGCTCTGCAAGAAACAGCCCTTTGAATTCCATGTGTATTAAGTTCTTTCAGCTTCCTGTGTCCCAAGGAGTTCTGTTTGAGACACATCAGTCTCTTGTTTTCCTCTTTGCTTCTTTTAATAGCCATGATAGAATGGTAACATCAAAGGCCTCAGGTCTCTGGTAGCACCTTCTGCAGAAATTCCACTCTACCAACAACACTTTTCCTGTTTTGCTGCCTGGAAAATGCTGGTCCCTCACTGTAGTTACAGGAACCCCAGAATCTAATAAAAAGCAACAGTCATTGATGACCTTTAGCCAGGGTGATGTTTTTAGTGTGAACTAGAGCCCAGGTCCTCTCTTGATACAATTTTTCTCCTTGTAGAGCAGATGAGGAGGAATTAATTACTGTAAAAAGCATGTGCTCTTGCCCCTTGCAGATAACAGCTCTGCCTGTCCTAAAAATTTCAGGGAAAAATTCCTGAGGAGGCAGGAACAGAACCTGTACCCTGAGAACAGGGGAAACGTGTCCCCTTTGGATGCTCAGACCACAAACATGGTAAGCAGCAAGAAACCATCCCTGGTGCAACAGCCTGCACTGCTCAGTGGTTTAGTGCTCTGAAACCCACCACATCCTCCCCATTTCATCAGGATGCACAAGCAGTGGTGCTGATGAGCAGGGAATGATGATCCAGTCACTCAGACACACAGACTGAACCACCAAAGCTGCTGACTTCACTGTGAGGGTGTTCAGAGCAGGTAGAATTCAGTGTAAAATACAACAAGGCTGCTCCAGCAGAATTCCCTGACCTTGGAAATCTGGTAGAGACCTAATGCCAGTGGAAAAGGAGGACTGGATCCCTACAGGATTAATTCAGCTCCTGCCCCTCCCTGCAAACACTGACAAAGTCCTTTTGCTGAGATGTAAAAAAAGAACTGCTGCAGTCTAAAGATGTTTAACAGTCTTAATGTATTTTCTTTCTCGCCACAGAGATTGACAGAGCAAAAAATCCAAGTCTGGTTTCCTTGACTGTTGGACAGAAGGTGTGTCTTGTAAAACTCTACAGGAAGAGGCAAATCCCTTTGCTCATCCCCAAAAAGCTGCCACCTCCAGTGCAAAATACAGGATCCACCTGGGAGCCTCAGCAGTGCTGCCCCAGCAGCTCAGAGAGGAGGGGAGGAAGGTTTCATTCCCCAAATCAGGCAGGCCAGGTTACAGCTATGAAAAGGACAGGCAGGAGGAGCTGCTGCAGGAGTGAGATTATCCTGAGAGGTCCCAGCACTGTCCCAGCCAGCCCAGCTCAGCTCCCTTTAAAGGGAAAGCAGGGGCATGATTTGTGGCCAAGCTGCTCTGCAATAAAAACACCATTCTGCTGAAAACCCCAGAGAAATATTGCTCAAAGTCACAGAGCTCACAGCTACCAGCACGTGCTCGAGAAGTTTCCCTTATCCCAGGTTTAATCCTAACTCCAGAGATCATAAAAAAAAAATCTCTTGGCCTTTAGTCCAAGAAAAACACAACAATATAACCCTTTCTCCTTGCTCCTGAGGGTCAGCATCTGGATTTTCCAATGTATATGGCAGACATGCTGTTCCTTGTTCCTGAATTAGCAGGCAGCCTCAGATGATGTTATTTCAATCTCTCTTCCTCCCTCCAAGAAACAAGAAAGAACTGGAAAATTATTGCTGAAAAGAAGGTTGGCAGAGAAATGCAATAGTTCGGGATCATTAAATCAAGGGTAGAGCACAAAGAACCACTTGGAGAGCTTTGTGCTTTCTTTGAAGCCCTGAGCTTTTAATAGAAATCTGGGTTTCAAGTCATCTTTTACATGACTTGAGAACTCCTTGTTTCCGTGTTGCCAAAGCCAATGGCTTGGCTAATGTGTGCTCTGGAGCATAATGACATTACAGCATTAAAATTAATCTTCTGCATAATTAAAAGCCCAAACACTGTAAGTTAATTTTTTTTTAATTTAAACTACAGGCCATTACAAAGCCAGTAATAACACTGCAAGCTGGAACCTGCCTGTGAAAAACCTTATTTACAGAGTCCCATTTCTCCTCTCCTTTTTAAGGAAATTAATTTGGGTTATGAAGTAGCTCGGATTGAAAGAACAACAAGTGCCACAGCAGTGAAATGACCCGAGTGAAATAAAAATAGAAGAAGATTAACAGGAAAAAATCCTCATGGTCGGTGTAGTAAAGGGATTTTTCTTCTCATCTGTAGATACTGGATTTTAAAATCAGCATATTGAGCATCACACAAACATGGAACAGGGCCAATCTCAGCCTTTCAGGGCATTTAAGAGCTGAGATTTCTGAGCCCATTTCCCATCTATCAAAGAAAAAAACTAAAAAAAACCTAAATGAAATGTTACTTTAAAAAAATGAAACCAACATGATCCAGATCACAACTGACTGTTTGTCCTCTTTGTCCAAGCTTCACCAGGTTCCAAGGAACTGAAAATACTGCAGAACAGGATGTAGAAAATATGACACATGAAATGCTTTAACACTGCTGGGTGTGAAGAACAGCCCCCATTATACCCCTCCAGCAGCAAATACAAGGAATTGATAATTTAACTTCTTTTCCACAATTTGATCTCCAGGAAGTCCTGCAAAAAAAGCCATTTTCCACAGGAAACACAGAGTTTAAAACAGTTGGCACTGTTAAAGCCACAGTGCCAAACCAGAGATGTGGCAGGGCTGAAACCAAAGGCAGGAAACAACACTTGGAGGAACAGGCTGGATTTTAAAAGGTGGTTGCAGAAATTGCAGTTTTAGTGAATTTTAAACTGTAAACTGCAGAATTTAAATTTAAAATTGGAAATTGTACATTTTGCTTGCATGTGATTTTTGCAAATGAAAAGCAGAAGCATGATCCTGGTGTGACACTGGTGTGACCCAGGTGTGTGACACTGGTGTGACACTGGTTGTCAGTTGTATGGGTGAGTGTGAATGGTCCATTTCATTTTCCCACATCTGGGAACACCGTGACACATTTTTTCAGCTGGAAAAGGCCCAACTCCAGCAGTTCTAGAAATTGCTTCATCCCAAGAGCTTCAGGGTCCCAAATCCAGAGCAACAGGCCCTTGGACCAATTGCTCACCTCAGAGGGAAGAGGAGCTGTCCTGTCCCTGGAAGTGTCCAAGGCCAGGTGGGACACTGGAGTTTGGAGCACCCTGGGACAGTGAAAGGTGTCCCCACCCATGGCAGAGGGTGGCACTGGGTGGGATTTAAGGTCCCTCCAATCCAAACCATCCTGGGATTCCATGAAGAGCAGTGTGCTCTGCACTCCCCCTCCACCAGCCCTGTGCTGCCATGAAAGCATGAGCCCACCCCAGCCTGGGACACACGTGCCAGTCAGTGACCAGTTATGAACAACCTGGAGGGATTTCTATCCCGGCCAACGAAGATCAGCATTTCACAATCACAGCAGCCATGCAGCCCCACCAGGCTTTTTCTTTTGCAGAGAGAAACAGAAGTCTATTGGATGATAGAACAGAAACAGAAACATCTACTGGAAGAAGAAAAAGCCCTTTTCCTTCATCCTGCAGTTCACAGCATGAACCCACAGAGCTCAATGCTTACCTGGGACAGGACTCCTGCTTGAGTTCACAGTCAGAGCCTCCCGGCTCTCCTCCATTTGCCCATCTGCTTCTGTCTCTTCCTTCTTTTCAGTATCTTTTACCTCTTCACTAAGAGTAGTTCTTGTGCTCTCCTCTCCCTCTAAATCTCCCTGGACAACAGGGAGGGCACTCGGAGACAGGAGAGGAGGTGGAGAAGGAGCTGTAGGGGTGACAGCAGCGATGGGAAGCGGAGGGGACGGGGGTGGCGGGGTGGGCGGCGGGGTGGGAGGAGGAGAGGGCGCAGCGAGAGGAGCACTGGGAGGTGATGGAGCGCTCTCCACCTCTGCTGGGGGGGCCTCGCTGGGCTCCACCTCCACAGTCAACGCTGCAGCTTCCTCCTCAGCCACCTCTGGCCCCGGCTCGGCCCCGGCGCTGCTCGTGTCGCTGTCCCCAGCGGGCCCGGCCGGCTGCGCCGGGGCGTCACCGGGGGATGCTACTGCACTGCTGGGCTCTGTGCACGCCTCGGCACCGGGCTCCTCCGCAGGAGGAGCGGCCACTGGCTCCGGGCAGGCTGTGGCACTGGGGGTAGGCATCGCCTCCTCTCTGGGGAAGGCCAGTTCACATTTGTCCTCCGGGTCAGCCGCGGGCAGGGCTTGGCTGGACATGGTGACAGCAGCGGCAGCCGCGGGGACAGCGGCGGCCGGAGCGGCCGGGGCTGGCGACGGAGCACGAGGAAGTTCTGCCGGGGTTTCCACTGAGCTGGGGGCCTCGGTCGTCTGCCCAGCTTGATCTTTCTTCTCCCCAGCAGGTTCTGGTCTGAGGACTGGAGAAGGTGGTTTTAATACTGGGTCTGGTTTTGGCTTCTCTTCTAGGAAAGGAGAAAAAAACCCATTATCAACAGCAAGGCAACTCCATGTTCCTGCCCGGTGCCTTGGCTCCCTTGGTTCCCATGCCTGCATTCTGCCAAGGAGCTCTGGGGAAGACACCAGAGGTCCCTGCACCCCACTGGGAATCTAAATTTGAACATACAATCTCTGCCATCCTGAGATGAGAGAATCTGGAGAGACTCATTGCCGCTTTCCAGTGCCTAAAGGGGGCTTATTAAAGCAAGGAGGGCAACTCTTTACATGGACAAAAACTTGCAGGACAACAGGGAACGGGTTAAACTGAAAGAGGAAGATTTAGATTAGATGTTTGGAAGAAATGTATCAACGCAACCCCCAAAATCTTGTGCAGAAAGAAGTCCCTGCACTTTTCCTATGATTAGCAACAGACCTGGTGATCCTGTCCCTGCCATGACCATCACACAGCTCCCAAAGCTCTGCTGCAGCTCTCTGCTTCCCACTTCTTTGCTACAAAAGCATGAGCCATTATCATTTAGGATCTTGCAGGAACACTGGACTCCTTCATGACAATGTTACACCAGCAAAAATAATTCTGGAAAAGCCAGAGGCACAAACCTGCTCTTCAGATTAGAAGTCAAAGGCCACAACCAACTGTAAATCATCAAAATTCAGGTAGAACTGAACAGGTTTGGCTCTGCTGGATTTCCATTTGGGGCTTATTCAACAGCTCAGCTGAAAAGAACCGAAGGGTTTTTGAAGGAGAACCCATTTGAAACTGCCTGGAGCATCAATCCCACTTTTAGGAATAGCTGGAGCAAAAGTGAGCTCTGCTTGCAGCCATCAGCAGCCCCAGCAGCATTACAGAGGCCCATGGCCAAGCAGTAGCTTATCAACCTAATGAGGCATCCAGGGACATGGCTTTGGAGGAGGATGACAAGTGAGGAAAGAGATGGGAAAGAGTATCCCAACAGCTGATTTTGATTCTGGAGGCTCAGTGGAAGAAAAGGATGCAGGAAGTGGTTTGGAAGAAGAAAACACGTCACCTCTGATTACTGGAACATCCTTTGCAGGAACTCCTGGAGCATTCCTGACATTTGCAGCTCACTATAAACAACTGCCTGGATATTCTCTCCCTGAGTCAAAGGAGAATGCTCAAAAAAAACCCAAAAAACCACCAACCAAATGCATTTGAAGTGTTAAGAAAATAATTCTGAGAGATAAAACCAGCACAAATCCACAGCTGTGTTTGAAACCAGAGGTTTAACTCCCTTCCCTCAAACCACACCTTGTCTGGCCAATGTTCTCGTCATGGATACAGGTTGTGTGTGCAAAATCCCAGAGGAAAGTGATTTAATGAGGGATTTCAGAGAATGAGGAGCAGATTTGGCTGATGAGAAGCAAATCTGAACTTGAACCCCCATCCCAGAGAACAAATCTCCAAGTCCTGGCAGAGGAGGACTCATCCTTGCCAACTGTTACAGAGTCACGTGAACAACTCACAGTTAGGGAGGGAAAACAAAAATCAACACAATTCATCCCAACTGGATCAAATCCCTCTTCCTAAATATGCTGAGATCATTCCTCATGTTATATTTAGAAAGTATTTACAGGAAGCGCTGGCTGTTCCAGGGGAAATATCAAGAGATTTTTTTAAATGTCCTGATAAACACAATTTTTGCAAAATTATTCCTTAAAGATTCTTTCACATAGCCAGTGGGACAGCCCCCACTGCCTGCTTCATGAAGAGCTGTTGTTGGGCTGCTGGGTGGTCCCAGTGGCACAGACTGGCCAGGACAGTGGATGAGGAAGATTTTCCTGGATACAGGAATTTGTTCCTGCTCTGTAGTGTTTATCTGACAATAATTGCTGGGCTCGCTGCCATTTTTCCATCTTTTGTCCTAATGCAAACACTCACGAGGTGGCACCAGGACTGACTCAGTGTCAGCAGAGAGGTTTTGGAGCTTTCCAAACTCCAGGGTCTGACATTAATCTGTTCTCCACAAACCATGTTGTACATTCTACGTGTCTGATACATTGCAAGATTTGGAAAGAGGTTTAAAAAGAGGATAATACTACTCCAAACATCCCCCTGAACCTCTGCAAGCACAAAAAATGTGGGCAGCTCTGATTCCATGCAGTTCTATCCCACTGCACCTCCTGCACCAGCCTGGCCTGCAGCCAGGCTCCGCAGACCCGGCCACTGGCTTGACCTGGATTCTCCAGCAGAATCCTCCCCTCTGTCAGCCTGGCTGGCATGGACACACCAGGGACATCTCCAGGAACCAGAACTTGCACCTAAAGATGGGATTCTTCAAGGTATTGTAGTAGCAATTCCTACACCTGGTCCACTGGAAGGCGTCCCTGCCATGGCAGTGGGGTCAGAATGGAAGGAGCTTTAGGGTCCCTCCAACCCAAACCATTCTGGGATTCTATGAAATGCCAAAGGCTTGTCTTTAAAAAAAACCAACCATGAATATAAATAATGCAATCCCAAATCCAGCCTCAGGAATGACTTGCAGACCAAGCCAAAGGGACTGCAGATCCTGGTGAGCTGGCAGAGCACACAGCCCCAACCCTGAGCCGAGCCCAGTGCAGCAGGCAGATGCTGCTCACTGTTAGAAGCAGCTGCACAATCAGCACTGGGTGTGACAGAATCACAATGAAATCCTGATCCCAAACTTCAGCAGCTGCCAATGGGCACAGGAGAGGAAGGGCACAGGGAGAGCTGATCCATAGGATGGACAGGGCAGAGGGGATTTGGAGAAACAACAACACTGGTTTGAATGAGCACTTCAGCCATGCAGCCCCACCTGTCACTACTCTTGTTCTGAAAGCAAAGATCCCCCAACATCAAAGTGAAAAATCATGTTGATACCTTGGCATGTATTTCTGAACAGAAGTGCTCCCCAAAAGTCATTAGTTCAGTTTAAAAATAATTAATGGGCTCTGTTAATTACTGACACCAACCCCTACATTGCTCTGCCCCCAGCCATGGCTGGGTGCTATTCCAGGGCTTTCCCTGCAGTGCTTACATAAATGTGCTCTTTAGCAATTTTTGGACTGGAACAAATGTTTGACTCTTTCTGGGATGGAACAGAGATAAACACAGGAAAGCTCATCAGTGTTAAACCCCAGTCAAGCCCTGCTTTATGTTTAAACCAGTACTGTCAGAGCTATGTAACTAAGCAAACACACTTACTTCCAGTTTACTCACAGCTGCCTACAAAGGGATTAAGTTAAAGAGAGAGAGAAAAGGGATAAGACCTGTTTGTCCTGGAAATCCACATTTCCATACAGAGAGATTAAATACTGTGAAGGAAAGTGCTGGATTTTCAAAGATGAGAGTTCAAGGAACTCCTAGTCGTATGATTTAGTGGTAGGTAGTCCTGTGAGGAGCAGGGGGTTGGACTTGGTGATCCTTACAGGTCCCTTCTGGCTGGAGATGATCTGTGATTCCACAACTTTACAGCTCAGCCCCAGCTCTGTCCAAAAGATGTCCCTGGCAGCAAGAGGGTCTAGGGAATGTTGGCAGAGGGGACAGAGACAGGGATGAGCAGCTGTGCCAGAGCTGGGCAGCACCAAACAGCCAGGGGAGCTCAGGCAGCACAGCCACAGCAGAGCCAAGGGACATCAGACCCACCACGCCTTGTTCAGGTGACACTGGGGACATTGAAGGTTTGCACCAACATCTACACAGAGCCACAGGCTGCCTTTAAGTGGGAGATGGGACCAGACCAGTCCCCAAAGGTCCTTTTTCAGCCTTTTATAACCAATTTCTAGACACTGCAGCAGTTTAGAGGCACAGCACTGGAAAAGGGAGACCCTGATGTCCACGCTGTGGCTGTAAGAGCAACCCCAGGGACACTGTCCTTGGCTTCCCAGCAGTGACTGTGCTGGGATCCAGGGCACCTGCAGCACCAGAGATGTTGCTTTGTCCCCTTTTCTAGGGCTGTGCTCCTCTGGGCCTTGGTTTTCCTCTAGCAAACCTCTCCAGGGAATACACAACAGGACAAAAGGAAATAGCCTCATGTTGTGGTTCAGGTTGGATTTTGAGAAAATTCCTTCATGGCCAGGCACTGACCTGGGCAGTGGGGGAGTCAGTGTCTCTGAAAGTGTTAAAAAAAAAGTGTGGGCAAAAAACCTGGGGACATGGTTTGTACTGAACATGGCAGTGCTGGGTTGGACTTGAAGATCTGGGAGGGCTTTTCTGACTTTGGTGATTCTGTGACTCTGGATACCCTGAAATAAAAATCCCAGCACTCCATGATACCCTGAAATAAAAATCCCAGCACTCCATGATACTCTGAAATAAAAATCCCAACACCCCATGATACTCTGAAATAAAAATCCCAGCACTCCATGATATTCTGAAATAAAAATCCCAGCAACTCATGATGTCCCTGCACGTGCTGCTCCAGGCAGGGCCTGGAGGCTGTGATGCCATGGGTGAAACTGGGAAGCAGATGGTGGTGTCAGCTCTGTACCCCAGCACCCATCCTGCTGCCACACATCAGGAACTGCAGCTTCCAATGGCTGCAAACTCCAGTGTGGAACAGCCTGGGCTTGCTCTGTTGCCTCCTGGGACAAGTCCCTGAACAGTTTTAAAAATTTCCCTTCCAATGGGTATTATGGAATATCCTGAGCTGGCAGGGACCCATCAGGATCATCAAGTCCAACTCCTGGCCTCATGCAGGGACCCAAATAATCCCATCCTGTGCCTGAGAGCACTGTCCAAGGAAATGGAATTTTAAGAAACTCACTCCATCTGTGCCAATTTTACCAAAGTCAGCAAAATCTGCTATGGGCTTTATGAGACACTTGGCATACTAATGGGTTTTTTCCTAGTTAATGTTGCCCATTCCTACAGGACTGGACACACAAGCAGCTCTGGGGAAGCCATATGATCCTCTGGATCCCTGCCACTGCTGTGGCTAATTACCCAAATGATCCAAAGCCTCTCTGGCTAAAGCGTTTCCCTGACAACACGCTGGGTTCTGGAGGATGGCACTTGGGTGAGAGGAGTTTCTTCCTTCTGTGTGCTCTGAAACAACATTTAGGACACAGAAGACTGAAGACAATTATTTTTAACCAGTTCCACATTAGCAAATTCCAATTAATTGCCTTAGCAACACACTTAAAATGTTCCACTGGAGGAAGAGAAGTTCCTCCCCTCCTATTTCTGCTGCCTGTTGGTCTCCCTGCCAAAAATATTCCAACTAAAACAAGAAAGGAGGGGAAAAAAATAAATGATTCCAAATAATGAAGGAGGAAATCTCCATGAACCGACCTTGTTTGGAGGCGGGGGCCGCGGTGCCGGGGGCGCTGCCAGAGGGGTGGGAGCTCTCCACGGCTCCCAACGCCGGGGGAACGGGCTCGGGGACCTGGCTGGGCACCTGCTGGGGGGGAGGGACAACAGGGTGAGCCTGGGAACATCAAAACAGGCAGCAAAGGTAAGGGGGAGATGACACAGCGTGGGATAGAGAGGAGAAACCAAAGGTGGGGAGGGCAAAGAGAAAAATAAAGAGAAAAGATACACAGGTCAATTGGATAAATCCAAAAAGCTCATGGGAAAGGGAGGGAAAGACAGCAGGAAAAGGGGAAAGGGATGTTCCCTGTTAGGAACAGCAAGGAAGGGACAGCACAGCACCATTATCAACGTGCTTTGCTCTCCCAGCAGCTCCTCCATGCAGGACACACACCAAGCACACTCCTGGATCTCTCTGTGACTTCAGTTCACCTTTGGGATTTGACTCCTTTCTCTACTGATCCATTATTTCAACCCCCTTAGAGATTTAGATCTATTGATTTACTCTTCTGTGTACTTATCAACAGCTGATGTGTGCAGGATGGGATGAATGGTGGATCTGCACACACATCACTCCTTATCCCAGGAGGAAAATCATCTCAGACTGGGAGTGCTTGGATGAAAAACATCCCCAGCCTACAGCAGCCTGGGGGTGGGAGAATAAAAGCAGCTGGGCAGCAATCTGAGGGAGAGCAGGAGGAGCAGATTCCCAAAGAACATGGACTGAGATTGTCTGTATGGAAGAACAAAAAAAAAAGGCCTGCAAAGATTGAAGGAAGACTGAAGGAGCCCCAGGCTGTGGCAGAAACACGTATTTCAATGATCTCCCACCAAACACTCACCTGTGCTCAAGAAAGTTTGATAAAATCCTTTAGTATTTAGTCTCAGAATTTAAGGAAGACCAAGTTATTGTTATTGGCCCAGACTTGAAGGTGAGACTTTCTGGAGTGAACACAGACAGAGCAAGGCAGCTGGTCACGAAGTCCCCTGAAATACACACTGGCCAGGCAGAATAAAATGGGGCTAAATTTTAATTTCCTAATCCCAAGTGGAAAGCCAGGCATCTCGCTGCAGGTGTCTGCTTTCACCCAGTTCCACATCCAGGAACTTCTCTGAACAGATAAAGGACTTTTTAATCACTCCTGATTGCAGACAGGCTCTCAGAAACCTATGCAAAACTTATTTCCCTATAAAAGGAAATGCTCTGGCAACCTGCTTCTCTTCCTGATAGTCTGTTTTTTCCTCCCATCTCCAGCTTTTAGCCTATTGCATCTGAACAGTGCAGGATAAAGAGGGAATTGTCTCCAATACACTATTTTTCACCATTTCTGGAAGACCAGGAAAAAGCACATCTGGAAAAATAAGAATGAAGATTTAATTGGGGCTGAAGGGTTGAAGTTTTATTTGGGATTGCTCCTCTTTCAGGAATGAGCCTGACAAACTGGAGAATGGATGAACTGCAGCCTAGCCTCCAGCCAAAGGGAAGGAGCCAAAGAAAACCCAGCTTTACAAATGAGCAGGTTTCAAGAACATTTTCCCCTCACCCTCAGTGATCAGGACATTTCTTTTATAAGAAAATTTATGGATGAAATCCATATTGTGGAGAAAGAAAACTGTGATAGGAACCACAGGAACCTAAGTAGAGAGGTGAAGAAGAAACCCATGAGCCCAGAAACTTCTTGGGTCAGGAAATGTATTTCCTTAAGAAATGTAGAAAACATTTATTTTGTGGGAATGATATTGCAAATGAATAAATGCTCCTTATGCACTGAGTCTTGCAACTGCAAAATAGAGCATTTAGAGAGTTTTCAGGGAAAAATCCCACTGAAAATTGCTCTCCTGATTTATAATGCTCCAAGGGTTGCTCTGGGTTATTCCACCCCACCATGGCCTGGACACTGAGCAGACACAACTCTGACAAACTCATTGAGACTTGGAAGAGTTTGGCCAGGAAAATAAGAGCATTCACTCATTAAAAAGTGATCTTCTGTGGAAGCCAATGCTGAGGCAATACCATAATCAGATTCTGGCCACGGGTTTTCTTTCTCTTCCAAGTAAAAACCAGAGTGAAAATAGTGCCTGGCTAGAAATGGATAAATCGTATCTCCATGCACCTCCAGCTTCTTTTGCAGGGACTTTAAAGCACTTTACTTGCTTGAAAGCAATTAAAACACACTGCAGAGGCACTGGGAAACTCCACCTAAAACACTTTTCAGTCAGCACTGCTGAGTAAAAGGTACAGGAATGGCTCAAACCCTGCATCTCATCTTGGCAGCAATGCTCATCTTTTGCACAATTGCAGTAACTTTTTGATGTTAAGCACAATTCCAACAATTTTTTGATGTTCAGCACTTAAATCTATTGAGAAAAGAGGGTGCTTAGGGCTCGTGCTAGCTAAGTTTTGGTTTATTTGAGTCTGTTAATAGAGTAATTCAAATCTAAAGGAAAAAAATATGAAACTTTGTAAATCTATTATTATTATAAAAGGGTTTCTTTTTCAAATGCAGAATTTGGGACAGGGAGTGGTCTCCAGCACTTCCTGAGGATGTTTCTTCCTCTGTGTTTGTACCATGTAAATAATGAGGTAGCAGATTCAGAGAAAGAAGTTTTATTAGAATTTGCTATAATTCTAAAAATCGCATTGGACTGGGAGTCACTTTGATGCTGCCTTGTCAAGCCCTGAGGCTGCAGCAGCTCTGCTCTCCCTGCACTGTCCCAGGAGCTGCCCCAGTTCAGGAGCATCTCAAAAGTTATGGCTGCATATTGAAAATTTACTGACTCGAGCCTGTTCAAAACAGTACCACCCCCACTACTGCAATTCCTGAGCACAGTTATTAAGGCACGATTTAATTTCACCCAAGATATTAAACGTGCTCTGAAGACTTGATTTAGAGAAGCTGTTGGGACAATAATGTTGAATTTCCTGGCTTAAGTGGGCTTAAATTTTCAGTTATGTTACACTAATGAACTTATTCTGGTGAGCCCAATTTCAGAGCTCTTCTGTGATTACCAAAAGTGGTTCCAAGCACCTAATCAAAAGGAAGGCTGGATATTAAACAATGGAATATTTGCATACCTTGGAGGAGATGATTGGACATCACTGCTGTGTTCTGAATAGAAATTACAGCTGATCAGAATTCAGGCCTAGTAACCTCCTCTTGAAACACATTTATTTCTTTCTGTTTGACTTAGTTGTAGTGCCTTAACATAGATTTCAGAATGTAAGAATGGCCAGGTAGGTGCCTGGATTCACTGCACTGTGCAGGAATACCACAGGAAATCCTGGCTGGTTCCAACTCTTCCCACTTCCAATGAGGAAGGTCGGGTAGCAAGAAGAAATGGGGAGATGATCTCACCAAGATTCTCATGTTTGGCATCTTTACTGTCTTTTCTAAAGGAAAGAAGTTTACCTGGTGCCTTGCTGCTGCTTGTCCTGGATGGGGACCAGAGGAGAAAACTGGTGACAAAGCAAAAGGTGGAGCCTTCAGAAGACACAAGGATTGGACTCAGTTGGGAATGGCTAAAAGCTGAAGCCCTGCTGCTCCCAGGGAGGGATCTCCAGGCCAGGCTCTCACTTCACCTCAATGATCCCAGTTACACCTCCCTGGAATCCCAGCACAAGCAGTGCTCCCAGACAGAGCTGTGCTCCTGCCTCAGCACAGGCCTTTCCTCCCACACGGAGAGGAAAGGAAGGTTTGAGCTCAGGAAAAGCTGTTTCACCTTAAAAGCTGCCAAAAGCTGGTGACATCGAACAGAGAAGAAGGTGGAAGAAGAAGAAATCACATCCCAGCACCAGCTCTGCTCTACAGCCCAGCCATCAGCTAGAGAACCTTCCTGACCTCTACCCAGGGACTTAGAGGAGTCAGACTAAAGGTGTATGACAAGAAGGGATTTAAGAGCTACAGAAAATTATTTGGAATCTTTATAATTTTTCTCTCACCAGCAATATATATTGTTAAGTTTGAACACCCAGAGACCAAATGTGTGATAAACTTATTACAGTTCTGTGAGACAATTCCTGAGTTCCAGATCTTCTCTAAAACAGCTGCACAAAGGCAGAAAGAACAGTGATGCAACTGAAGGTCTGTAATCAATCACCTGTGTGACATGGACTTTCCTCAGGTGCACAAGACTTAACAGAGACACCCCCTTTCCCACAGATATTTTGGCTCCTCCTTTAACTCTGAAAAGCTCTGAAAATCTACTGCTGATGAAAAACCAGGGAGGGAAAAGTACAGCAGCACTGGGGCTCCACATCGACAAGCCATGGACTGCTAAGAATGATCAAACTTGGGAAAACATCATTGCTGAAGAATATTGATAATTTAGGAGCATCCAGGTCTCTGAGATGGTCAGAGGTGTGGTTGGAGGCGTGAGGGAGAGGCACAGCAATGCAAAGGTCACAGGGGAGGAATGCAGCCCTTCCTTACCTGAGGTGGAGTCGGGGTGGAGGTGGGTCTGACGATGGGGGGGGTGGGGTTCCTGCTGCCCCCTCCAGACATGATTTCTTCTGTTATGTCTTTGCCTCCCTGGTTTGGATCCCGGATTCGTATCTACAGGATTGAAAGAATGGCAATAACAACAAAGGAATAATTCCCACAAGTGCTCCTGGTACTGCTGTCCTGGTGGAGAGCGGCGTGGGCAGCACAAGCTCCCAGGAGATGCTCTGGGATGAGCTGGTGGTCAGCAGCAACACTGGGATGTGGCTTGTTTCCATGGCTTGGAATGCATGGCATGTCACCCCTTCATCAACACCTAATTTAATCAAAACCTAATTGAATAATCAACCACACCAGTTCAGTCTAAATATGTGCACCCTGTAATTCAAACTACAGGCTTTGCTGCTGGAACGTGAGTTTCCTGCAACTGAGAAAATGTGGGAGACAGTTTAGGTACAAGCTAAGCTTGCCCAGTAGTGGAAAGGGCAAGAATGGAGAAAAGGCTGTCTTTTACCCTGACAGGAAATTCCCTGACCTTGCCAGCCCAGCTTCTGGGAAAGGGGGAAAGCAAATCAGTCCCTAGTTCCACCAAAACAGAAGAAATCAAACAAAAACACTGAGTGGAGGAAAGGGAAACTGAAAGAAACACTCAAGTCCATAGAACTCTGCAGCATTTAGGAAAAAAGTGGGATTTCTGAGTTTCTTCACAGCCCCAAAATGGGAAGAAAAAAGTATTTTCCAAAACAAACCACTCCAGAACACTCACTGAATCCTCAACTGACACTTGAGCCAACCCATGTCCCTGAACAGGGGGAAGAGCCAGCATGTCTGGGATAATGTGAAACAGCTTTTCATCTCCAGTGTAAGAACTAGAGATTCTGATAACCCTGGAGACAGAGTTCTGTCTATCTGCCCACCTTCTCCAAAGCTCTTGGCTGAACTCGAGATTAATTCCAGAAAGAAATCCAAGCAAACAATTCCAAGCAAAGCAAGAGACACCATCACCCTTCCCAGGGCAGGGGTTCTGCTGGAAACCACCCTGTAATTGCCTCATGGCAGGGGATGGGAATGGTCCTTCAGGTCCTTCCAAGCCAACCCTACTGGGATTCTGGGCTATAAAATCCTAACTGCAGAAGAGTTTTGTGACTTGCCAAACTCAGTTTGGTGGATGGTGGCTTCACACTGTTTGTGAACACACAAACACACACACTGTACTCAGTATGTGGAGTTTGGGCTTTTCTTATTTTTGATGGAGTTTTTTTTTTGCGAGTTGGCACTAATTCCTGCCTTCTCCTCCACCTGACACAGAGTCAATGGCATTAAAAACAAGATTTCCCTGCCTGCAAGGGAAATTTGTAGTATTCAATACTCAGCTCATGGTGGATGTGGGCATGTGCACATGAATACATTTAATTTTTCTCATTTCTCCAGTTGCAACACCAATTAGCAAACTGAAACAGCACATTCAGAGAGAAGCATCCCGGGCATTTAAAATCCCTTTTCTGCCTCAAAGAACGTAGCTTGGCTGGCATGGAAGTGCCTTAATCCCAGCTGAGCGTGTCTGATCAGCTCTGCATTTCAATGGCATCAGGGATCTGGGCATGTCGTGTTTGGGATGCTGAAAAGAGACTCCTGGGGACTGAAGAGGTGACAAAAAGGCTGCTGAGAGCAGCCATCAAAAACGCCTTTCCTGAAAGCACAGCTCACACATTGTTCAGCTCTTCCGGTCTCCCAAATCAAGTGTCACCCCAGATCACCCTCAAAACTCCAAAGATGCAAATATTCTGCATTTTGAGACATGTCCAAGTTCTTTTATTCTTTTCTACCCCCAGGAAACTGTTCTTTTAATGTTTCCAAAACACTCTCACACAAATACTGCTGCAATTTCCTTTTCAGTCCTTTACAAATGATTCATTCACAAGTTCAAGGCCATATCATCTTTTCTTGGTTAAACCTTATATTCACCCCAAAGACCTTCACTGCTCCCCACCATCCACCTGTAGATGAGTTTAAATTCCATTCATCTGCCTCTCTCAATTCCCCCCAGTGAAACTAGAAAGAGAGGGAATGTGCTCTCCAAACCCATATCCACTTTGATAACGTGGTCAGGTTCTTTCAAGCCTGCAAATACATCCACAACTTACTGGTTTTCCACCTCTTTCAAGGCATAAAATTCAATAATTTCTAATTTGTCACTTTGAACCAATTCCCAACATTCTCCCAAACTGATGAGTTCACTCATTCCAACCTGGCTTTTTGGGAACACTCTAAGCAGCAGCACAGGTGAGGATTCCAGGTTTGGGGAGACCATGCTGCTTTTGCTTATGTTTATTTGAAACCAGCAAAATTATTTTCCTTTTTGATTGGCTGAGATGTCACAAACTCAGAGTGCGACCATAGAAAAATGGAAAACAGCAGTGTGCAATGTTTAATTACACTTAATCCCTTTGGGAATCACAAAATGACTGGTTTGGGATGGAAGGGACCTTAAAGCTCATCTTCAAGCATGGGCAGGGACACCTTCCACTGTCCCAGGCTGCTCCAAGCCCGGTCCAGCCTGGCCTTGGACACCTCCAGGGATCCAGGGGCAGCCACAGCTGCTCTGGGCAGCCTGTGCCAGGGCCTCCAGTGAAGGTAAAGCTCAGGCTTAATCTTAAGAACATTACTGATGTCCTTGCAGCTCCCATCCAGGACAGAGCCTGGGGCTGAGTCCCCCAGGGCCCCACTCACCGTTTTCTTCTCTCTCTTGGCAGGCGGCGGCTGCTGCTGCTGCGTAGGCACAATGATGGGTGCAGACTGGTACACGGGCTGGCTGGGGTAGAAGGGAGTTCCTGGGGCAGCAATGACACAAACCAGAGGGACAAGGTCAGCTCAGGACAGACAACCAAGGCCAGAGGTGCAGCTGGCCAGAATTTCCAACATCCATCTGGTAATGCTGCGTTTGCTCAGCTCCACTGCCACTGAACAGAAGCTGATGCTCCATCAAGACAAGAGATTCAGTCCCCATTTCTTATTTGATTTCCATGACCCAAAATTGGCCACGTACATCATCCATTTCTGAGAGGCTGTGGATACTACAGAGGCACTGCAAGACCATCCCTGGATTCCTCTGCCTGACAAACAGGAAGATTTTCTGCTGGATTTGCTGCTGGTTTATCAGGGGTTTTCTGCCTTTGTAGAGAAATTTAGTCTAACCAATACAAACAATTTGTGAGGTCAACTGCAACCTATTTGGAAGCATAACCAGAAAATTTAATTATGAGCAATGCTCTTCTCATGCTGCAACACACAAAAAGCAGGACCACAGTGATGAGTGCAGGATTACACCATGCTGCTGATCACATTCCTCACAGCCAATGTAGCTCATTATGGTTTTCTCAGTGGAATGAGAGTGGCTCAATAAATAACCAAGTGCTTTAAGACCACGCTAGAGATCAGGGTGGCAGAACAGAGCTGCCTCCTGCCCATGGATCAGGTGTCAGGGGAATGTGTAAGGTGCTGCTGGGTGTTCTCCCTTCTAGGCATGGATGCTGGATGAGCTGAGTGCTTCACTTGCCTCTGGCACATTCTGATCTGTTCTTCAGCTACACTCACCTTTAACTGGGAATGAAAGTCTGGATTGTGCCTGTAACCCAACCGGGAGGTCACCACATCTCAGGCAAGGGGTGAAATCCAAGAAAGCAAATTAAACCAGCCCAGCACAGCCAGATTTGCAACTTCCAAGGATGCATTCCTCCTGCTGAGAGCTGGAAAGCCCCAGCTAGGAGCAGGCTCCCTGTCTGCATCCTCAGAGAGGGAACTTTTTCCTCTCTAAGCAGGGAGCACTGCATGGCATCAAGGAGCTCAAAGTGACACTCCTGGGTGGGCTGAATCACTCAAGAAATGTCTCATTTTGAATGCCAAGGTCAGCAGAGCCACTTCAGATCTGGCCTCGAAGACTCTATCAGCATCTCTGCAGGCTGGGAATCAAATATTATTGCCCAGAGCAGCTGTGGCTGCCCCTGGACCCCTGGAAGTGTCCAAGGCCAAGCTGGGCAGGGCTGGGAGCTGTGGTATTCACTTTCTCTGAACAGAGAGAGACATGATTCTCTCTCTCCCAGGATTCTTCCTGGGAAATTGTGAGACACAGTGAGAAAGCTCAGAAAAAGAAGAAAACAATTCTTATCTCTAGTCACTGCTCCTGTTGTTTGGCACATGTGGAATGTGTTATGGAGATTGTGTTCTGAAGAGTGAGCTGTTAATTGGGCACCGGTGATGGCTGTTTGGATTGATTGGCCCATTGGGTCAAAGCTGTGTCGTGACTGTCTGGAGACAATCACAGGTTTTTCTTTAGTATCTTTTTAGTATGTTATAGTTCTAGTATAGTAAAGTATAAATGTAATATAATTTAGCTTAATAAAAGCAATTTATTTAGCCTTCTGCACCATGGAGTCAGAGCATGTTATTCCCCGTACAGGGGGTCGCACTGCTTTGACAGGGAGCAGCCTGGGAGAGTGGAAGCTGACCCTGCCCATGGCAGGGAGTGGGACTGGATGGGATTTAATGTCCTTCCAAGCCAACCATCCTGAGATTTGGTGATTCTATGAAGCCTGCTGATGAGCAGGTGTCCAAGGAGAGCCTGGGTAAGGTGAGGGAACAGGGGAAGCCTGGGATTCCTGCAAGGGGTGAATTCCCTTCACTGGTAGTCTCCTCTAACCACATCACCTGCAATGTGATCCCTGATGGAGAGGCAGCTCCAGCAGAACTCAGGGAACAACTCTCACTTTATGAAAAGTATTTTTGAAACCCAAGTCCTGAAAAAAGATGGGAAGAAACAGCCTCTGTGACAAGTCAAGTGCATTTGTCAGTGCTACACTCTCTGCTCAGCTCCCTGCCTGTGATCCCTTCCAGTTCTTCAGCACCCAACTTTTATTCTCTTTCCTACTCACTGTTCACTTCAAGGTCTTTCCCAGTGTTGTACAGAAACTCCCTGACATCAGAGAATGAAAAACTGCAAAACTAAGTTATAAAACTGCACTGTCCATCTTCACAAGTTCTGTCTTTCACTGTACTTTCCCTCATCACCTTGTTTAGGTCTTGCTGAACTGCAATGGTTTTGATATCCAGCAGCCACACTGCTGCAAGTCCTGTGATTGATGGAAAAGGCACTGCCAGCAGCATTATCCATGCCTGGACTGTAGATTTAGCTGTTCCCCAACCCTGGCAGCACCTGGAGAGAAACTGAGCATTCCCAGTTGCTACACACAGCAAGGGAGTGACAGGAGGGAAAGGTGGGTAAGCACAGGCAAATCCCTGGTGAAACCTTCCCTGCCTGGAAAACTCTGCAGGACAGAGAGCTCTGGCTTCACCCACTGATGCTCCACAGTTGCAGCAACCTAAAGCTGGGACTAAAAGATTCCAAGATTTTCTGCAAAAAACCAGGCGCTTCCAGGAGAGGAAAGGAGCTGGAAATGAACCTTTTCCTAATTACAGAAGTGAAGACAGATAAATGGCACCAAGCAAGCAGGAAGTAAGAAAGCAGACCTGTAACAGCACAAAAAAAATGAGGAATACTGGGTAATTTCCTCATCTAGTGGATCAGATTTGAAGAACCATTACAATATTTCTTCTATTTTCTCTAGGATCAGCCACTAGGAAGTAGCTGCCCTGTAATTACCCTCTCTCCTATTCTGAAATTGCATTACTAGCTTCAAAGGCTTCATGACAACCTTTCAGTAATTCCCTTGAGTTCCACACAGACCAGATAACTAAGAGAAGGAAAAGAGGAAAATAAGAGACCTTTCTGAATGTTGGACAGGGAAGCTACTGGGTTTTTCTCTCCCTCCAAAGGGATCTCTGTGTGTGAAGAGCAAACTGCAATTCTGCCAAGGGAGCAGGGCTGTTACTGGTCAGCCTGGAAGAGAATCAGTCACCCCAAAGCTCCAAAATTCCAACAGAGAATTCCCATGGGAGCCTGAGAATATCTCTGCCCCCAACAGGCTGCAGAATGTGAGTGGGCAGGGAGCAGTGAGTGACCAAATGCATGAAAAGGCCAAGTTTTGGCCTCTGCAGGGGTTACAGACTCTTCCACTGGACTAAATTATCTTTGCAGCACCAATCCAGGGAAAAACCCACACAGCTTGTTCTTATCCCCCAGCACACACCTAACAAGAAACACTGGGATAAGAACTGTTACCTGCTGTTAACTGGTAATGCCAGTGCATGGCAGTGAAAACCAAGACTGCCAAATGTTCCCACAATACCTGAATAAATAATAATGATTGAGCAGGGACTAAAACCCAGCCCCATTCCTGGTCACAGGCAATTCTGGGCAGCTGCAGCCTTTCCTGACACACTCACACAAACAATACTCTGGGATTTTTCAGGAGGGAATAATCAGGGCTGTGACACCACCAAATTTAGCAGCTATTTGAAGTTCAAACAAATGCTAATCCAGCTTGTTATTATAAATCTTCAGCTTGACAACAGAAAAACACACCAAGAAAAGACTGTAAGAACTCTCCAAGCAGAACTCACCGTAGGCATTGGGGAATTCTCCAGGACCTGGGCCTGGATAGAAGGGTCCTGGTCCTGGTGGCTGCACAGGATATTGCTGGGGTGGCCCAACGTACGGGGGGCCACTGTGACGATACTGGGGGGACAAAAACAACCATCACTGTACAAGGACTGGGGCAACCTGTAACTGAGCCCCCCAGGATCAGGGATCTGATCCTCACATTGGTTCATGACAGCTTTGGGCATCACAGAATCATGGAATTGTTAAGGTTGGAGAAGATCTTTAAGACCACTGAGTCCAACCATCAACCAGCAGCACCACCAAATTCACCTCTGACCACGGCCCCAGGTGCCACATCCACATGTTCTCTGAACACTTCCTGGGATGGGGACTCCACCACTGCCCCAGGCATCCTCTGCCACTGCCTGACCACCCTGTCCACGAAGGGCATTTCCCCAATATCTACCTAAACCTCCCTAAATGTTAGTGCCAGAAGTAAGGTAAAGCCAAGGCAGGGAGGACACAGGAGCTGAGGTAGAACAGAGTCACTCCCCTGACTGCAGCACTGTGTAATGAGGCCCAAGGTTCTGGAGTGTCTGTGGATTGGTTAAGTCAAAATAAATGTTTTTAAAGCACTAAATATTTTCCAAGAGCTTGGTTTCCTACTGTGCTTGAGAGAGGCCTGAAAAAGGTGATTGGTTCCTACTGCCTCCATGCACAGAACAAAAACTTCATACAGAGAAAGGACAGAGGCTGAACCACAGAATCCTGGAATCATTTAGGCTGGAAAAGCCCCCTACAACCACCAAGTCCAACTGTTCCCCCAGCACTACCAAACCCACCCCTAAACCTTGTCCCCAGATGCCACATCCACACATTTCTTCAACACTTCCAGGGATGCTGGCTCCACCACTGCCCCATCATCCTCTCCATGAAGGAACTTTTCCCAATACCTAATCCAGACCTGCCCTGGCACCTGATATACAACTACCAGCCTGATTTCACAGACACGTCTCCACACCCTCCTGGCAGTTCCTGAGGACCCCCATGGAGCAAACATTGCTCTGCAGCTCCTCAGGTGCCTGGATGCTGGATTTACCTGTGGGATACAGTACTGGGGGCCCTGAGGCATCGGGTAGGGCATTGGCAGGTGGTTCACCATCATGATGTGCTGGTTGGTTTGGTACACGGCAGTCGGGGTCTGCGCTCCGGGACGGATGGAGGGGCTGCTGTTCTGGATGGTGGCTCTTGGAGGCTGGATCTGAGGCCTCTGAAAAAACTAGGATAGGGAAGGGAGAGAGGAGAGAAACAAAGAACTGGTCAGACTTCCTGGGAAAGAATTGAAATATCCTTACAATATTATAGTTACGGTGTTAAGTTTCCAGGTATTGCCACACTTCCCGAAAACTGCAGGACAGTCCATGTTTCTCTGTGAACAGCAGGGCCATCTATGGCTTTCTATTTTACAAGGCAGAAAACAGGCAAGAAATTTTACAAACCAGTAATTATTAGTTTGTATCCCCTGAATTTTACAGCTGAACCTTCACAGTCAACTTTAGAAAAATTAGTTTATCTAATTTTCTTTTTATAAGGTGGGTTGGCTGCTAAAAAAACCCACCTTCATAAATACCCCAGGGAAATAAAACATCAAGACAACTGTTCCAATTTATCTCCAGAAGAGCTAAAAATCCAGAATTTCATAGAGGCCAGAGGCACCTCATGTCTCTCCTTCACATCCAGGTCACTTGTCCTGCCCTGTTTTCCAAAGGGTGGCAACCTGTCCCAGAGTGATCCCAAAGCCTCGACCACACTGGCATGAGGCTGCCCCGGCGGATGGGCCAGGCCTGGCAGCCCAGCAGGGCCTGGCAGCAGCTCCACGCTCGCCCTCCTGGCAGCCCCAGGGTGGGCACAGGGCTGGATCTGCACCCCGGGACGGGCACAGGGCTGGATCTGCATCCCAGGATGGGTACAGGGCTGGATCTGCACCCCAGGATGGGCACAGGGCTGGATCTGCACCCCGGGATGGGCACTGGGCTGGATCTGCACCCCAGGATGGGCACTGGGCTGGATCTGCACCCCGGGATGGGCACAGGACTGGATCTGCATCCTAGGATGGGCACAGGGCTGGATCTGCATTCCAGGATGGGCACAGGGCTGGCTCTGCACCCTGGGATGGGCACTGGGCTGCAGGCTCTGGCTCTGTACCCCGGGATGGGCACTGGGCTGGATCTGCACCCCAGGATGGGCACTGGGCTGGATCTGCACCCCGGGATGGGCACAGGGCTGGATCTGTACCCTGGGACAGGCACAGGGCTGGCTCTGCACCCCGGGATGGGCACAGGGCTGGCTCTGCACCCCAGGATGGGCACAGGGCTGGATCTGCACCCTGGGATGGGCACAGGGCTGGCTCTGCATTCCAGGATGGGCACAGGGCTGGATCTGCACCCTGGGATGGGCACAGGGCTGGATCTGCACCCCAGGATGGGCACTGGGCTGGATCTGTACCCTGGGACAGGCACAGGGCTGGCTCTGCACCCCGGGATGGGCACAGGGCTGGATCTGCATCCCAGGATGGGCACAGGGCTGGATCTGCATCCCAGGATGGGTACAGGGCTGGATCTGCACCCTGGGATGGGCACTGGGCTGCAGGCTCTGGCTCTGTACCCCGGGATGGGCACAGGGCTGGCTCTGTACCCCAGGATGGGCACTGGGCTGGCTCTGCACCCCAGGATGGGCACTGGGCTGGCTCTGTACCCCAGGATGGGCACGGGGCTGGCTCTGTACCCCAGGATGGGCACTGGGCTGCAGGCTCTGGCTCTGCCCCCTGCAGCTCAGGAGGTGAGGGGTGCACCGCACGCTGAGGCATTCACTGACGGAGGTGTGAGCAGGTGAGAGACACTGATGCCATGCAGAACCAGGAGTTAGAGTTACCTGTATAGGTCTGAATCCTCCCTTCAATAACGAAGCAAGAAAGCAGCAGGAAACAGAAAGAAAGCCAATGGAACAGCTTACAGATCAACAGGAAGGAATAGGATACAACATGCACCCTAAATGCACAGTTGTAGTCAGCCTCTGCCCTGCTCTGACTCGTCCCTTCCAGAAACAGCCAGGAAAAGACACTGAGTGGTATCACAGACTCTGCTGCCAGAATCCCACAGGGTTAGAACTCTCCTAGAAAAGTTTCATATGGAAGTATAAAAGTTAAAAAAACAAAACAAAACAAAACCAAAAAACCCAATCAAACCATGATTTACTGCATGAAACATGACACTACAGAAAGACTTTATGTTTACTCTGTTCCTAAAACATCAAATATTTCTCCTTCTGGTCTCTTTCAGTGGTACAGAGTGAGCAGATAAAGCAGAAACCCTGGCTCAAATCATGGATTTCTCTCCTTTTCTGCACCAAGCCTGGGAAGGGAAGAAATACCACATATTTAACTGTTCAGTAAAAAGTAATTATAATAATTAGGCCACCACACATCACACTGAATCCTGCTGGCTGCTGTGCAGTGATGTGTTACAGGGAGTAACTGTGCCAGGAGAAGTGAGAAAAGAAGAGAGGAGAATGAAGGGATGAGCTGGGATTATCCACCCCAGGTTTGGGAAGGGTGGGGAGGTTGTGATGTCTCTATCCTCAACGTGACAATGAGATTAAAATGGCCATTCTGGTGCTGCTGAAGATTTCATGACACCTGAGCTGTTCCCCACAGCAAACAATCTCTCCAGGAAAGCCCTGGATGACTCTCCTTCAGATAACCAGACATTGTTAAGGTGAGCACACTGATTTTATGTCCAGCCCTGTCAACCTGGATGAACAGCTGTCCCCAGCATGCTGGAAGTGTGACCTGAACTGGGAGAAGGGAACTGTTTAGGGAGAAAAGCTTGGAAATGAGGGTGGAGAAAGCAAATGAGAAGAACAACAGCCTGCCATAGTCCTGCTCTGATAAAACCCGTGTGTGGCTGAGAGATGTGGGGGAGATGCAGGAGTGTGGCATGAACCAAGTACAGGTGCTGAATTTATGGTAAGAATCACCAGAGTTTGTGATTTTTCTATATCCAAAGACACCAAAAAATGTAAAAGTCTTCCTTTTTTTCACCGCAATTCACTGAGTAATGGTCATTTCTAAGCAGTAAGCATGTTGCAGCTTTCACTGAGGGAAGGCTGGAAAAATTAATAAACCCCACAGGTGTGTGTTTATGCAGAGTGAAAAGGGCTGGAGGCAGAAGTGAGACCTCTCTCTATCAACAGCACCTCCAGTGCAGTGGCAGGAAAACCCCCACTGCCAGAGACAGGGACACTTCACCCATGGGAGCTGCTCCTCAGGCTCCTGCTCACAATTAACTGGGAGTATTGGGGGAACACTCCCAGCACTGGGAACTCCTCGGGCAAGGACAGCTTCTCACTCCCAGAGCCTCCAGCTGGCCCCTGGCTGGGGCACAGCTCTTCCACTCCAAACCTCCTGCCTACCCCTCTGCCCTTCCTTGCCATTTTCCCTTTAGTCACTGCTCACATACCCCAACCCTCCCAAATCCTTTTATTTACCATCATCTTCTTCATTTTCTTCCCCAATCACTCCGTGCCCAGAGTAATAAAATCAATGATCAACGTGCCACCTAGGAAAAGCAGAGATCAAGGAGAGCCCCAGCCCCCTCTGATCACCCAGCACTGCTTTCCACAGATTTGCCACGTGCTCTGTATTTCCAGGCCATGACTCCCAATGCCAGGAGTGCTCCCTTGGACCCCCAAGGTGCACCTAAATAGAAATTTGGGGTAAGAGCCTGAAAACAAACCTATGCTAAGCTCAGCCTGGCAAACATGGGCATTCATCTACTTTTTTTCCTAGGCTCAAGGCTGGATGTTATGATGGGTCCACGGAGCCCTATGGGAGGTTTGGAGAATGGAAGCAAAAGGGAAGTTCAACAAGTTGTCACCCAAGCTCTGCACTTCACTCAAGCTTCTCATGCCCCTGTTATTAATTTTTAGTCTTTCTGGTGCCACCAGGAAGGCTGGTGGGATAACCTGAGCCTGGCCTGGGGGAGAGAGGTGCCTGTATGAGCAATGCAGTGGGAACTGAGCCCTGAGATGTGAAGATCAGAGAACTGTAGAATTGTTTAGGTTGGAAAAACCCTCTAAGATCATTGAGTCCATCCCTAGCCCATGTCCACAGGTGCCACATCCACACATTGTTTGAACACTTCCAGTGATGCTGACTCCACCTCTTCCAGTGCCTGACCACCCTCTCCATGAAGAAATTTTCCCAATATCTAACCCAAACCTCCCCTGGTGCAGCTTGAAGCATTTCCTCTTGTTCTGTCCCTCCTCCAGGAGCAGGAGCTGCAGCACAAACCCCCAGGTCCTGCTTCCCCAGCACCTCAGCGCAGCTCTTTTGGCTGCTCAAGGCAAGGCTCATTTCCTTCCCCTCTGACTCCCCCTGTTTTATTATTTACTAAATGATAAAATGAAGGGGAAAAGCCCTTTTTGACATTTAGATGTGGCAGCTCCACCACACACTCAAGGATGCAGACAGGGAAATGACTGCAGCAGTTTCCCATCACTTTCTGACTTGGAACACCCCAAAACAGCCACAAAATGGTCACTTGGGTCAGTTCAAGGAGTGAATTCCTGACCCCTCCAAGTCCCAGAGCTCTTCCACAACAGCACCCAGCCAAGCCCATTCTCTGTTGTACCAGTTACACCCAGAGGAACTCAAGAAACCCCAAGCTAAAACTGTAATAAACTCCACCAGTAACCTCAAGTGAGAGGCTGAGCCATGAGCAGCAAACCCATCTCAAACACAGTTCAAGTCAAAAGGAAATGACCACATTTCAATGTGTATTTCTGGTTTAAGTCACATCAGCCTCTTCTGAGAACCTCATGCTCCCCAAGTCACCTCATAAGTGAAGAGATTTTAGGCAGATTCAAATGTAACAAAAATTTGCCTTTTGGAGCTGGGGTTAGAAGAAAACTGCTGTTCTCAACTGTGCTTTGTGAGGATCAGAAACAACAAAATGACTCCAGAGCCTCACTCAAGAAAAAGAAAGAAAAAACAGAGAAAGTCTGTGCAAAATACTGCCCAAAACACTTTGTAGGGGCTATAAAGTGAGATTCTGCAGATTCTCACTGTGTGATCTCAGAATCAGGGATTACTGATGCACATTTAACTTCCAGTCAGAACTGCTGCAATTACTTTATTTCCCTTCAGCCAGTAATGTTAAAACCCTAAATCTCTGCTATTTTCTCTCGTACAGTGGGGTCACACTTCCTTCAGCATTAACTGGCTCCACCAACTCCCACTGTAACTGTCCAACTCCAGGGAAGGCATTTCCATCCAGGAAAAAACCCTGCTCATAAAGCTGTCATTCAACTTCAGGTGCTTAAATCATGCTCATTTGAGAACCTTAAAGATCTAATAATTACAGGCAGTAATACTGAAGAACAATCCATTATTTGCCTGAAGGAGACCCAGAATCAATACAAGGCACATGTTAATAAAAGCTGGGATGGACACAGGGAATTGCAAACCCCACGGTGCTGCTGCTGCCTTCAAAGGGAAGGTGGAGTTGTTGCAGTAAATATTAGCCCTGCTGAGGCCAATTCACTTATTTAGCATTTTCTAGCTTATGAATCCCAGTCTCAAAGCTCTCAGCTTGTGTTACACAATTTAACCAAGTTTAAAAACTCTCCCGTGAGGATAATTATTTATGTTGGTCTTGAGCATCCAACCCATTTATGTGGGGTTCAGGATGAACATGCTCCCACAGCTGTGACCCTCCTGCAGGTGGCAGGAGTCAAAATCCCTGTCTGCACCCCCAGTCTACACCATGGGTGTTTTGGCTTAAAGGAAACAAATAGCTCTTCCACAGCCCAGGTTTCTCTGTGCCTGTCCTGGTGCAGCACACGACAGATGTAACTGGGAATAAAGCCTGGAATATTTTTCTAATGGTGACAGCTACTCACAGATCATTATAAGCAGATTCAAATGTAACAGAGACAAAAATCTAACTGTGATAAAATCGGGAAAACACTTGGAATTTATAAGCACATTAGGGCAGGGCCATAAGTGGGTCCAAAGGAAAGTTTTGGATCCCATTCTGACAGACTGGCGGCCAAGTCCCACCAGTAAAACCCCAGTCACAGGAATATTTCCTCCAAGGCTGAGCTGCCTCAAGTCTTGTGGGTCAAAACCTGCTCAGAGAAAGCTCAGTAAATTTTAGGAGAATGTGAAATGGCTCCCAGTGAATACATCCCTTAGGAATGACCCGTGAAGGAGCTAAGGAGCTGCAGAGCAGTAATGCACTCTTTGTACTGTGCAGTATAAACACTGACCTGAAGTTAAGGTCAACAACAAAAGTATCTAAACAAGATCCTGATGCCCCCATCATTGCCCAGGCTGCCCCTGCAGTCATCCTGCAAACAGTCCTCTGCCCCTGCCTGTCCAGCCATGCACACAAATCACTGTCCCAAAGGTCCCATGCTACCTTTGCCTATAACCCAACACTGCACATGTCCCATTCTACTCCCTACACTCCTTTTTCTGCCCTGCTCTGGAAGGCTCCAGCTCCCCTGCTGCTCCCTGAGCTGGAAGGAACAAGGATGATGGGGATTTTGGGCTCTGTGCCCACCTAACACTTACCTGCTCTCCCCCACGGTGCTCATCCCAGTGTTCAACTGCTCAGGAACATGAGTCAAGTGAGAACAAAATAATTCTCTGGAACAAACCTTCCATGCCTCAAGCCCCTGTCCTGACACCACAGGATTAATGGGACTTTTTCTTATTAACTTGTGGAAACAACCTGCCTCAAAGCCAAGAGAGCTCTGGGAGAGCCTTCCTGCCTTGTCCTGCCTCTCCTCTCTTTCCCACCAGCAGTACCACCTCTGTTCACTCAAAACCTACAAGAAGCATCAAAATCAGCTCCCAAGGATAAGTGTTTTGGCAAAGAGTAGTGTAGGAGCTGAAGAAAAGACAATTCCAGACACCCTGACTAGGACAGACAGGCCTGTGTATGTGTCCTGACACTGGAGAAATCCCAATTCTGCCACCCCTGAGCTCCAGGAGCCACAGTTATTCCTAGCTCTCCTTCTTAATAACAAAGTGGTTCCTTACAAAGTCCAAGTCGTGCAATGGGAACACTGAAAAGTTTCCTCCAGGTCTGGCTTTTGTGGGCTAAGTGAAAATGACATTAAGCAATGCAATGGTGACAGAGAACCAGGTGTATCACACAACAAAGGCAGGACCTGGGAAGTCATGTGTTTTGCTCCAAGCTGGAAAAGCAGGATTTTATCAGGTGACATCTTCAGAAAACTGAATCCACCCATTGTTTGGGAAATACTCAGAACAAGGTTCTAGTGATGTGAGAAGGCAAGGGAATCCCACAGTGGCTGGCAATGACTCCTAGAGGTTCTCCTCCCCGGGGGTGGGGTGGTTAATGGGAGCAGTGACCCTGGGTGAGGTCTGTGTCACTCAGCGGTGCAAGTGGTTGTTAGCAGGGTTATGCACGTGCCAGGAGCTACTGCAGGGCTGCTTTCCTCCACTCGAGTTAGTGGGTGAGTCACCTCCACCCCCACCCCCCAGCCAATTAGTGCAGGGTGATAACGAAGGGGCAGGTACTGTACCTGGTGATGGGCAGGTCGAGGCCCCGCTGCAAACTGAGGAAAGGCGGGAGAAACAAACACAAAAGGAAAGGCACAAAGAGTCAGAAACACCACAACGAACCAAAATGTCACACTCTATGCAAAATAAACCCACAGAAAATAAAATAACAATGACACAGTCAAAAGCTTTGCTGCAGGACAGCGACACACAGGGACTGAGGTGTCACGATGGACATCGCTACGGGCACTGTGCTGGGAGCTGGGACAAACAGCCAAAGCTGCCCGGGATCCTACAGGCACTCAGGGATGCAGGCATTCCTTATCCTGCCTGGGAAGAACACATAAAACCAAAAAACCAACTGAAAACGAGCAGCAGTGGAGATCCTGAAACTGTCTGAGGTGGGAGGAGGTCAATGGTTAGAGCAGCTGGGCCGGAGCCGTGCTGGGGCTCTGAGGAGAGCAGAGGATGGAGAGCCATGGCTGGGGACATCCCTGCGAGGCAAAGAGCAGCCATTCCTGGCACGTCCAGCCCTGCTACTGCACTTGCAGCTCTATTCCTCCTCTGGGGTCGCAGCAAAGCCCCCTAAGCAGTGGCATGTGTCACCCTCTCTGGAAGCCAAGGATCAGCTTGTCCCCAAGCCCTGAGGGCAGCAGCAGTGCAGCCTGGATGGAGAACAGGAGGTCCCAGCCCTGAGCCCAGGCCACTGAATCATCTCCCACTCACTTAGGCCACACGCAGAGGAAAATAATCCCAATTTAATATGCTCAGCTGACATTAAAAGCATTTCCCAATAAGGAACTGATTGTTAAAATAGAAATAAAAATGAATGCAAGAAATGGAAAATATAAATAAAGATGACAAGGTACCCACTTCCAGAGCTGAGTTAGGTGTTGAAACCCATAATTCTCAGTGTAATGAGCAGAGCTCCACAATGAGAGCAGAGAATTCTACTGATAAGAGTTCCAGTAATTAACTGCAGTGACCACAACTACATCCATAGAGGATTTTAGACACCATGTGCCTCTGCTGTGATGGCTCAGCACAGCCACCTCTGCTCACTCAGGGGCTCATTGTGGTTTACTTTCTGCCTCAGAACAGTGATCAAAACTGACTACTAATTAGTGACTTCCTTAATAAGTTTATTTTCTATAAGGAAAAGTGGGCCTGAGTTCACTTGCAGCCCCTTACAGCTCCTCTAATGCCATCAAACATGAAGCAAAACATAAATATTCACTGGTCCATTTGATCTTTTCCTTTACAAACACTTAAATTGCCTAGATTTTAAGATTTCCAAGAACTACTCTGCTAATCCTGGTGTTTATATACTCCTACCTTCACCTCATGGTGGCACTTGGTGACACTTGGATGAAAGTCATAAAAACCTTCAGAAACGAGTAAATATGGACACACAGGCTGTTCCTGGGACAAGAGTTTATAAAGAACGACCTGCACTGGTTCACCAAATAATTTTCTCACCCTGGAAAATTTTCTCTAAGCCTTACACTGAAGAATAAAAAAGCAAAGCATGGTCACCCTGTGAAACTGAAAAGCTGTAATTTCTATTTTAATAAAACAGAAGGACTCAGAACCTCTCGGCATTCTTGCAGTGGCTCTGTGCATGAGGAGAAACAGGTACCTGGATGAGTCTCTGGAGATAAATGCACTTCAAGTCCTTAACTTCTCAAAGAACATCCCTAAAATATCTTGTGTTTGGGAAAAGGGACTAAAGGTATCCTGGAAGGGCTGAGCCTTTCCATGGGGCTGCACGTTCTGTGTTAGACACCAATGAAAGAAAACAGCCAAAAAGAGAATGTTGGGATGCAGAAACCTTGTACTGCTTCACTTCAGGGCCAAGGCACCTCTCTCATCCCTGTTGCACAGAAAAGATTTGTTCTCACTGCACCTAAAACAAGAGCTGGAAGTTTACATCTGAAGAAGCCAAAGTTTGTTCCATGGTGGAAAGTAATGTGTGTTACAAGAAATAAAAGCTCCAAGTTAGTGAAAAATGCCCTTGTCTATTTTGCACTGGTCACCACTGGCTCTTGATTTTTAAATGTTTTAAAAATAATTCTGTTTGATAGGAATTATTAGCTGTTAATAGCTGTAAGCAACAGAACAAACTGTAGTAGTCACTGCTGGCTTAAAATAGACACTTTGGGTTGTTTTTTCTCTGTTTGATGAAGACAGTAGATAGGAAAACCTTATAAATCCTGGGTCCAACCTCCCTGCCCCATCCCCACTCCCTACAGTCCTGCCCACTGCCCCATGGACACAGGAATGTTCTCTCCCTGCAGATATTGGGCTGGCACACCTCACCCCTCCTGGACTGCTCCACCACCCTCTCCAGCATAACTTTTTTTTCGGCAAAGTCATAAAATTGGACAGTTTGTGTTGAGATGGGGGCTGGCATGGCCAAGAGCTAATGGGGAATTTTCAGCAGTGCTGAAGGTCCTGGATTTTGTTTTCCTTCCCCAGCTGGAGCTTTGCAATTCCCACTGTGGGAGTGATGCTAACAGGGAGCAAACACGGATTGCAAAGGCAGCTGTCCTGGGAGGAACAGAAAAGCCTGAGCTCTGCACTTCCAATGGCCCTTGGATGCAGAGCAGGATGGAGGAAACTCTGGCTCGAGGGAGGGGCTGGATCAGCCCTGCCTGCCCACATCAGCTGTGCCACAGCACAACAGAAACCCCAGGGATGGCACAGCCACCCTGCCACCCTCCTCATCCCCTCCTCACCCTCCCCTCACCACCAAATGGACGGTTAAAAAATAAACGGAAAAAAAATAATAACTAAATTACAAATAAATAAATCAAGCAAAGAACCAAATGCAGGAGTAGCTCAGGCCTGGGCTAGTCTTGCATTTGCTTTGGGGTGGGAGGTGGAATGAGATGTGATGGGTGGCAGCAGCTTTTAGTCATGGGGTGAGATGGGCACTAGCAGAGCACATGGCAAAACCTGCACACAGGAGAGCTCAGAACAATACAAGCAAGGCTGACAGGTGCAGATAAATTCTTCCTCGGGATCTCCTCAGTTACAGGGTCAAAACCCTAAAAATTTGACATTTACTGGCCAAATTTCCTGCAGAATCTCTCTCTGCTGAGTGACAAAGCCCAGGGGGCCCTGGCCTCTGTCCTACCCCAGGTCAGACCCCCCAGCTGTAATTTAGCTTTGGACCCTTGTGGCACCACCTCACCTGGCAGAGGCTGCCACGGCAGCTCGTGCTTTCAGCAAAGAAGCAAAACCAGTGCATTTCTGTAGCCAACAAAAAAGGATGTGGTAAAAAAAAAATATATATAATAAAGAAAGGAAGAAGAAATAAAAACAGTGCCGTGGGCACAATTGCCTGCAAGAAGGAGTACAGTTTGTTATATTGCTTACAATGCAGTATTTTATCCAGCCTCTTCCAGCCAGGGACCTGTAAACCGGACTCTGTTCCAAAACCTTCCTCCTCTTCCAGTTTTCTGTGCAATGTATTGGCACTGTTCTGCTGGGCTGTCAAAAAAACTGGTTTAGAGATGCAGCTCTTCAGTCAAGTTTTTGCTCCAGTTCTAACCATACCAGCTTAGTTGTGCTTTGCAACAATTAAAGAGAAAGATGATTATACTTACTGAGGAAAGAGTTTTAGCAGCAGTGTCCTGCATTACTGATCAGAATGGGGCACTAAAGACAAATTCCCAGCTGTCCACATCAAAGAACTTCAAAGTCAGTGTTACTTGACTCGTTCATCAGCAGAGGTTGAGGAGCCTCAGAACAAACCCTGGCATGTCCTGCAGGGGAAACCTCCAGAGCTGGGCATGTGCCCCAGTGATGTTGCAGGTTTGGGGATCCTTGCCCTGGGTATATCTGTATTTATACCTGTTTTGTGGACAAATTTCTCTGCCTCAGAGGCTTTCAGTTTGTTCCAGGAGTGTTCACCTTACTCTAAAGAGAGAAGAGTGCTGGGAAGGCACCAGGGGGTTATGGGCAACTGGAATATGTCCTGACACAGAGGGGCAGGAGGTGCAGGATTGCTGCTCCCTCGGCTGATGGAGCCCTGAGATGTGGTGATGGGAAGCCACCATGCCTCCAGAAGCTGGGCAAAGCCTCTGATGCCCTAGGAGGGTCTTCTAACATCATGTGGAGCTGTGCTACAAGCAGAGAATCCCCAGAAAGTAGCTGGTGTGGGGAACTGAAGTCCTACAACAGCAGAGCAGTATCACAATAAACACCCACCCCCAAAAAACAGACTGTGAAGGATGATCAGACCTGAAGCTGGATGAAAAAGGGGCTCAGCACAAAAAGATCTGAGTACACAGAAGCTCTAGGTTACATGTGAGCACCTCCAGGGTTAGAACTGATCGGTGGCATTGATTTGGGAGCAAAGCCCAGAGGCCACTGGAGACCGAGGGTTGCTGCAGAGAACTGCTTGTGTTTGATCTCTAGTCTATCCATGCACAAAGCAGATCCTTAAAGAAAAAAACAAAAAGAAAAAAAAAAGAAGAGAAAGATTCTGGCAATGAACCTGAACACTATAATGAAGTGAACCTGAAAGTAACTAGGCTAAAAATAAATGGTGTTATTTGAAGGTAGATGAGAATCCCTCCATCACTTCTTTAGGAACTTTAGAAGGAAAATTATCCTACCAGGATATTGTCTGAAAAACTCAATCAAGGTTTGCCATTCAGGATGTGCTTCCACGTGAGTAAAATGGGCTTTCCAGAGAACCAGCCCCGTGCTATAGACACACAGACAGAGAAACACACGAGCAAGGAGGAGACAGCAGCAGATGAGGCCAGCATGGGCTCCTTACCGGCGAGCGGGTCTGAGGCTGCGTGCTCATTGTTTGAGGGGCTTGAGGGTACACCAGCGTGGTGGGAGCTGCATTCTGTCCTGAGGGATAAGGAGCCTGCCAGGGAACAAGAAAAGTCAAGTGAGTGGATCCAATGATTCATCCCAAAAACCAGGAAAAAACACATTATCAACTGTAGGGATTGACATGGAGATAAAGATGAAAAGATTGCAACAGAGAAACCATCTCTGTTGAGGACCAATTCATCAACACTGCCTCTCATGGGAGCAGCTTGTAGCTCCACTAGGAAGTAACAGCTCCATTAGTAATTATTAGTCAGAGTTTACTACTATTTTATAAGTCAGAGTTTGCTACTATTTATCACCTGAGCTCCCCAAGTGCTGCAGTGGAAAACAACCCAGGAGACACATGTCATAGTGTCACCACAACCCTGCGTGTCCAAAGGCCTGGCCAGCTGTTTCCAAAAGCCTCCCCTGAAGCAGCTTCCAAGGAAAGCTAGAACTGTAGATGATGCCAATAAATCCCCCAAAATCAGACAAAGAGCAAGAAACAACCTTGAGTGTGTTTAACAGAAGCTGCTGCTGCATTAAAGAATTTCCAATGCAATGGAACAGCCCAAAATCATCCCAGATGGAAGGCAGGCCGTGGCTACAGGCTCTGCACATTTTTCCTACTTCCACCCATTTCCATGGGCTATAACAATTTATCCCACCAGATGCTCTCCCCAAATGTCATTTGCCCAAAGTAACAATAAACTGGAGTTCTGCCGATGACGCATTTTAACGAGACATTTAGAAATAACTTTTCAGAGTGCCTTTTTCCTTATTCTTTTTGAATAACAACATTATAATTTACATTATTATTTTTAAAAATTGTTTATTATTATAATGGCACTAAAACCAGCCACCAGGCTGAAACAGCTTTTGCTCTCAAGAACCATAGGATTGTGGAATTGGTAATGTTGGAAAAGCTCCTCCATTCCTATCTCTGGAGATGCTCCAGCCCCTCCAGGTCCTTCCTATCCTGAGGCACCCAGAGCTCCCCAGGACTGGAAATGCCCCAGAAGTGCCAGCACAGGGGTACAAGTTTGTGTTGTCTCTTTTTTCTGCTTTTCCATCTCTGGCCTAATCACCTGCTGAATTAAGCCACATGCAGTAAATAAAAATACAGTTTGGAAACAATCCAATCAGGAATTCCCTGGTCTCAAGGAGAAGGAAAAAAAGAAAGGAAAAGAGAAAAATACAACAAATACAACAAACACCCCTTCTCAAAACACAGTAGAGGGGATGAGGGGAATGAGCACAGTCCAAAAATAGCCCCATCCCATCCTACTCTGGGACCACACTGGAACTGCTTTTTAAAAAGCAAAACTTAGACACAACTCCACAGACACGTGAGGACACTGCTCCTGCCACACAATGTAACTAGGCAGGACCTTCTGTTAGCTTCTGCCCCATTTTCACAGCTTTTTGGGTCAAAATGATGATAAAATGTGCGTCTCCAAATACACCACTAGATCCTTACTATGATCCAGGACACCAAACACACTGGGCAGGGTATTTAGCTGGACAATGTTGTTCTGGAGGAGTTTATAACAATACAGCAGCACAGCCTCTGGTTCAAAAGCAATGAAATGCTTTGCTCAGCTCCTGATGGCAGCAGCATCCTCTGAGGGGTGGGCAGGGCAGGCTTGCCCTGTCCCTCCTCTCCAGGAGCTCCCTGATCCAATTCACTCCAGAGCCAGCCCTTCTCTCTCTTTTCACCACTGCCAAAACCTAATTAAGGTAAACAACTAAATGGAAAGAATTTTCTAATTCTTTCTTCTATTTTTTTTGGAGATGTCAGATGCAGCATCAATTCTTTTCCCCTTTTAATTGAGTGATTCTGCTGAAGCTGGTGGTGTCAGTGTCATTCCAGAATGAATAACCCAAAGCTAAGGAGAAGTGGGGAAACTCTTTTCACCCACAACCTGGAAAAGTTGTCCTGCCTTTGTAGTATCCTCCTGCTGACTTTCTGCATCTGGGATCTTTGTCCAATGTAAGATTAAGGCTTCTTCCACAGGTCCAGATGCTGCTGTTCCTATCATGGAATCATGGAAGGGTTTGGGTTGGAAGGGATTTTAATCATCCTCATCCCATTCCACCCCCTGCCTTGGAAGGGACACCTTCCACTGTCCCAGGCTGCTCCAAGCCCTGTCCAGCCTGGCCTTGGACACCTCCAGGGATCCAGGGACAGCCACAGCTGCTCTGGGCACCCTGTGCCAGGGCCTGCCCACCCTCTCAGGGAAGGATTTCCTCCTAATATCCAACCTAGACCTACTCTCTTTTAGTTTAAAGCCATTCTCCCTTGTATATGTCCACCAGCCAGCAGTGTGCACACAGGTAACTGTGTTGGGAAATATTATTAATAAGTAATATCAATAAATGCACCAGTTGATCACTGACTCCTTGTGCCTCCAGCTCCACAGGAGATAAGACCTCGTCCCAAACTGCTGCTCCCACAGCACCTCAGCAACAAGAGAAGAAAGTATCTACTATTTGCCCCATCTTTAGGCTCATGAAAACATATTCTTTAGGCTTAAACTGCATGTGACAGAGCAGAGCTCTGACATGACTCCCAAAGGTAAGTCAGTACCCAAAGTCTGTACCCACCTCCAAAGCAGCCCTTGTTTTCTTTTAATCACCCAAGCATAAGGAGATGTGAGAGAAAGGGAGAACAGCTGTCATTAAGCCTGAAAATCCTCTGAGTTTTGGCAGTAAAACTATAAAACAGGTACTTGGAAACAAAGTGCCAAAGGCACTTCACTGGTGACACACCAGTAACACAATCCAGGGTTAAACTTGGTTTAGTATTTGAACCCTACCAGAATGAGCACAGCATGAAGTTAAACATAAAGAAAAAACCTAGAAAGGCTTAACTAGAGGCCACAGAAGGGTTTCTGCTATTAAGGTGTCATCAACCAAGGCAATTCTGGACAGATGACCCCCATGGGTGCGAGGTCACAAGTAAGGAACAAGTGCAATAAAAATGCCACTGGAGACCACAAACATCAGCTAAATAAGTATGTTTTACAACTATTGCACAACAACAAATACCTCTGTTTCCAACCAGAGGGACGTTGCCTTAACTAGTATTTGTGTTAAAACCATAATAGGGGGAAGAAAAGAGAGGGAAAAATGGTTTATAAATTTCTGCAGGTATTGACTTCACATCAGCTGTGGGAACCTAAATAAACTATCAAAGATCCAACAGAATAAATCACAGCACTCTGCTGCTTTTCATACACATCAGCTGATTAAAGCATTGCATCTATTCATCTGCCAAAGGACTTTTTTCTGTGCCAAGCAGCTAAATGGGTACAGAAAGTGATGTGGTCACGTGCAGCCACACAGGGCTCCATGCACTGGGGCTGGAATAAGGGAATGAAGAGATCAGCGAGGAAATGCTCCAAAAATCCCCTAAATAAACCCCCACAGAGGGGACGGCAGGGAAACAAGTACTGTTCTGCAGACAAATGTTGGTCTGAAGCATCTAAAGGCTGGATTGAATCCCTAAAGTTCAAATAACTACTGGGAGAGGACAGAGTGCTGCTGAGCTGCTCCAGTTTGAGACAGAGCAATTTGCTTCCCTTACAGCTCTCACCTTCCTGATTTTATGTTTCAGCTGTGGCTGTTCAGGGGAGGAAGGTGATAATAGCTGAGTGTTTATGTATTCCCATAACTTGCTGGGAAAATCCTTTCTCTGGACTGTTTCCACCTTGAGCTGCTGCCTGTGCTAAGCAAGGAAAAATAATCACTATCAACAAAACGACTGAAAAAAGTTATTCTTAGCTCAGGCCCGAGCTGGTTAATAAACACTGAGCCTGCAGCGTAACATGACTCCCTTGGGACTGCCTGTCCTGGGAATAAACAGGCAAAGTACACACATCAGGCTCGAAAGAGCTGAGTCACCCAGTTCTGCCTCTGGAAAAATCTTCTGGGAACAAAACCCTTCCAGCCCTGAGCAGAAAAGTGTCACTTGCTGAGCTGTGGCTGGCTTGGCTGGGAAGGGGTTAATCCCTGTGGCAGATTCCCGAATCCTCAGGGAAGGCTGCTGGGTCTATATTTACTGAAGTTACACATGAGGAGGAGAACTGGACCCGCAGCTCCAGCACATGACCGTGACTCAGGAGCTGCGCGGCTGCTGCCAGCGCCCTGACCTTGGGAGGAAACCTCTGAATTCCCAGTCCCAAACC